ACTAAAATGGCCAAAAAGACTGAGGGGAGGAGGGGGAAAAAAAACGGAAGGAAGACAGGAATGACGTTTCTCTAAATGAGTCCGACAGTGCGCGCGGTCTCGACCGCCGTTGTTTATCATTTCCTCGCCATGGCCACCATAGGCCTGGCGGCCGGGACCAGGAAAAGCAGGGGGACGCAAGGGCCCAGAGGTGCTCACGTGGTGGACCAGCGGATTGGCACACGGTGCTGGGGCTGCCTACACTGCCCCTTCTGGTAATTCATATACCTATGAAAACTAAAGTTTCAGCTGGTAGTGACACTACACAGCTGATGATTTCCATGCCTGTGGACGACATGATCTGCACATCTACAAGTGAAATATCTAGACTTCCTTAAATTGCAAACCTTCGGAACAACAGGTGTACAATAAGGATGAGTTTAGGCTATGAGAGGCTCCCTCTACTGGCCCAGTGCTGCATAGCACTGCATGTGTTCCATGGGTTCCAGCTTTCGGGGAAACTCAGACAATGACCTAGTCACTCGTCCCTGAACTTTTCTTCTATTGAATGTGACTCACAGTTTGGGTTCAAACCCCCCCCCACTGGGCTTGATGGGACATGATGGAGTTTGGACAAGCTAGGTGCATCGTAAACATTGTGTAACCAGGGGTGGGAATTTCAGGTTATCAGAGTAATTGCTCCGAGGACAAAGGACAAACAGAAAGAAGAAAGAAGGACTAAAAGAAGAAGAAACAAACATAGAAATGTAGCCACCGCTTTCTGGCTCGTCGCTGTCTTGGTTATGCAGAGCTGCAGGATTCTCCTATCAGAGCTGAGACAGGAAATGCTGTCTCCTATTTCCTGCGTTCATCTGCATGTCAGTGCCAATGCTAATCACCCTTCACCTCCACCTCACTGCTTCAGTGGTTCTAGATTTCACTGTCAGTCAGGTTTAATGAGAACCCCAGTGTTTATCGGCACCCCCCAGGAACCTGCAACACCCCAAAATTAAACCCTCCTCCCCAATGATGCATCTGCATGCTAGCACAAGTCTGCCAGCTGATCTGGAGTTACAGACACACATGCACGGCCACAGATGCTTAAAGGGACTTTTGCAATCCCTCGGTCGGTTGTATGGTTCATGCGGTGAACCTGTCACCTGGCGGGCTAAGAACTAGCAGTCAGCCAGTCCCGACAGAGCCACGGGGTCCCGCGTGACCCGGCAGACTGTGGCCCAGCATGCTGGCATGACGGACACGGACGCCCGACCCAGCCGGTGCAGGAGAGGAGTGGGCGTGGCCAGCTGGCGGTTTGGAGGAGGAATGGGAAGCATGCTACCACTGTGGTGCTGGTTGGACCTGTGGGCTCTCGGTTTTCTAAGCCACTGCTGTCCAGACCACATCTCTCCATCCCTCCATCCATCTCTCTCTCTTTCCTCCTTCCTTTCTCTCTCACTAACCATTTCAACTATAAAATGTTCCCTAAGTAAGCCCTGCTCCACCCTTCCCAACAGCATGCATCGATGCAACACCCCCATCTACTCCCACACCACGCCAAATAAAAAAGGCAGTAAAGCTTCCTCTTCTGCAGCTCTGTCCGGAATAAACACGCGGCTTTTCTGTCCCTGCTCACTGGCACTGCCAATCAGCCGGTAACTGCCTTTTACTTCAAGCCCTTTGCTGAAGATGACGATCCATAAAAAGGTGATAGAAAATAAGGAAGGTGTAAGAAAGTCTGTCGTCTGGTGTCTGTTCAGGGCCGTCCCCGGTGCCCCGTTTGTCCTCTGCTCCTTAGTGCACCTTCCTGAGTCGGGCGCCAGATGGTGAGAGTTTTCAAAACAAATTACTGTCCGAATATAAATGCTCCTGAGATTGATTAGACCTGACATCCTGTGCAAGGTATAATGTATTATAATATATTAATGCAACCTCTGACCGTGTCTGTTTTATAAATGCTGTCTCAGGCTGAAAAATAAACAAGCCAATAAAAGAATCCTCTTCAGCCTTTAAAAAATGTAACTCTCAAGGCAAAGCACTACACTGAAACAATACTAGGATAACAAACATTTATCAACTCAAGGACCATTAGTTCATGGTAAATTACCCTGAATACCAGTACTCCAGAATGGGGGTGAACTACAAACTGACAGCCTTGACGAGGGGTCTTTGGGTAATGCTATCGGCTGATTTTTGGACTTGATAAAGGTAGGGGACGTGTGAAGTGACTCTTCTTGTGTGCAAGTACATGGTGCGAGTTCCAGAACTCCTACACAAAAACAAATGTTCACTTTAGAGGAAAAAAAAAGATAGCAGGAGGTTTGAGCACATCCTGACTCACCCACCTTTTAATCGCCCCATACCGGGATTTCTGGATGCCACTGGTCACCGCTAAAACGCAGTTTTGGATTTGTATCGACACTGAACGGCCTTCACAGATAACAGGCAGCACTCACTTTCCTGTCTGCTCGAGTGTTTCACGAGTGTTGGTTTTACTTAAGATAGTTTTTGTGGTTAAATACGGGTGTTTTCTGCACTTTGTGTTCTTGCGGCCGAATATACGCTGCTATCCCTGTTTACCGAATGACGCCCATATACTGAATGCAGGCAGGGCGGCCCCACTTAAAATTCCTCCCACTTGTATACAGTGAGCAATTAGCCATTATGAGTAAAAATCACTGTGAGGTAAAGGTTATCCTGCTCAAAATGAACTGGGATACCAAGCTTAGGACAATCATGTCCAGTCAGAGGGCTGCTTTACCAATAACAACAGAAACACTAGGCCGAATTCTGGAAATATGGTTTCCATGCTGAAAATCAGTCAGCTAGCTGGCATTTTGGTAGAGTTGTCAGATGACTGAGATTTCACAGCCCACTTGAATATGACAAACTGCCTGTGACTGTGATAGGGGTTACAGGGTACTATAAACTACCCAAAATCAACAACTGTTCGGCATTGTAATTTATCTCCCTTACAGATATTAAGTGGGGTGCTGGTGGGCTACGTTTCAATATATTGACATGATCAAAATCACAGGGAAAACAAAAATCTTGTAAACTGATTCCCAGGCCAGAGTGGGAAATCCTTTAGTCCTTTAGCACCACCTGCTGGTCATAAACAGGAAGACAGCATGATGCTAATAGACAGCCCTTGATATGGGTCTAGGAAGCATTAGAAAACACTGGTGAAGTGTCGCTTGAGAAAACGCCAACTGAACTTTCCCTAAAAAGCCAATCTTATGCATGATTCAGATTTCAGCTATATTAACTACTTTATGGCGTGGATAATGTTATATAAAACTATACAGCAAGGGTGGCCAATCTTATCCAGAAACGGACGTTGTGTATGCGGTAGTGATGGCCAACTGAAGCTTCATGAACCATTTGCTGTATTTTCTGACCCCGCTAGATGGTGCTCTCTGTTCAAAAAGGGCTCAATGCATACCCCAAAGCAAGCCAAGAGCACCATCTAGTGGGGGGTAAAAAAAACAGAAAATGAAACTTCATTTGGCTGTCACTAGCATGAAGTGTTTTGCTGCAACTCCCTAATTGGATTACTAATAAGATGACTGATTGGCTGAAGAGTCCTCACACCTGGGTTTGAACAGCTGACCTACAGGTTATCCTAAAAACCTGCATACACACCGGCCCTTTGAGGATAAGATTGGCCACCTCTGTGCTACAAGAATGTTTAAGTAATAACCAAAATATGACCTTTATTCTTTACAGTACCAAATTTAATTACCAATTTAAAAATTACTCCATTAAGTGTTAATAATTATAAATATGAATAATTTAACAAAATAATAATAAAAAATAACAGATGAGCACCGCAGGGAGGAAGCTGTTTATAGCAGTGTTCCCCTCGGGGCCCCGCAGACAGTCCAAGATTTTGTCACTCAACAATTTGTTGTTTAGGTGGAGTGGATATTCAAAAAAATCCCATGTTATGGGCCAGCATGTGTGTGATTGTTGGCAAGGCAACATGCATTTTTGTTGCAACTTTACAATAAATAGGCCATTAAAACACGCCCATACGTAACTTACTAGTTACTGTAATTATTTATTGTGGACACTAGGTGGCAATATTAGTTTTCTAATGAGGCCCTCTATTAATAATGCTACAAAATACAGACATACAGGCAGCATATTACCCCATCTCTGTGTTGCCTTTGATTGGCTGAAAGTCCCCCGAAACTTTGACGGGATAAGCAATTAGAAGATGGATGGATGGCCAGCTATTAACGTAGATTAGACACACTTCTGATATATTATTGTCATGAATAGAAGACAGGTGACAACATTTGCTCCTTCCTGCTGTACTGTTTCAGTACCAGATTCAAAGAAATATCGCTGTAAATTTGCAGTAATAAACGTGAGTAAAAATCACGTGAACACTAAGATTATTTGATTGATCATAACTAATTAAATTGTGCTCCAAATTGCAATTTTCCGTAATATTTAACTGTGAAGTGCAGTGATGAAAACAGCGAGTTTCACTGTGATTTAACACATTTACAACTGGTTCCAATTTGAAATGTCTATACCATGTATACCAGCACGGTTTGTAGGACGTCTCACCGTTTTTGTTTAAAAATGGGAATAGTAAAATTATAAAATATATTCTAAAATAATAATTCCATTAAAAATCACTGCCAGAAACATTCTAATCCAGGCTAGACTGATCCTGCGTTCAATTAACTCTATCCGTGTCGGAACTCGGATGAAGACGTCATGAAATACGTCACTACAGTAAGGTTAAATATCGTCCCCGTGTGATGACGACATCGAAGCCACTGTTTTGCCCACAACACTGACGACAGTGTTTCTTTATTTGATCATACTGTGATTGTATTTATGTGTAACTATTTGACCCACATTCTACCCATTACAGAAACTGTAGAAAGAGCTCAGTGTGATATGTTTCTTATCTTGTCCCAAATTAAACTGACGGTTAACTTGCCCTCATTCTGTCCGCATTTATTGACGCAACATGGCGATCGGCGTGTTTAAAACAACCATGCCCAAAGAGAGTAGGGTCACAATAACCCGGTGTTGCAACGAGGCGTTCAGTTAATTTGCACAAATCCAGGTTAATTAAAAAAAAAAAAAAATCAAGCACATTTGATATTCCGCAGCCGATTTTGTTCAAGGCAAAATTTCTGGGTTGTGTTTTTATAACGGTTCGGTTAGTTTGGCTTCGTTTCTATCTCTCTGTGGGAAATAAGGTGTGAACAGGTACCTGAACCGTGAGGGTTGCCAGTTGTGTGAAACTAATTTGTTCGTTTCTTTTTAAAGATGACGGCGCGTCGGTGCTGATCCGGATAAGCAGTCCGGTGACCCCGCCCAGGCGTCCTCCGGCGCTCCTCGCAGCGCCTTTTGTCCCTCCTTTCGGAGGGAGACTGCGTGCGTCTCCGGGATTAAAGCGCCTTTCTCTTATTTCCAACAGGTACGTACAAATCTGTTGGTTGCGTGCGGGAGCCTTTGATTAAATATCGTATAGCTGTTACTGTGAGTGCGTGGGTATGGATGCAAATAGGAGGATCTGAGGTGAGAGAGAGCCAAAGTCCGGGACTGCGGGCTCCAGCGTGGCTGTGCCTTTCTGGTTTGGCTCTGTGCTGCTGCTATCGCTCCATGCTCCCCGGCATTGGGGATCCGCAGCGTTAGGAGATTTCAGGGACATTAACAATAGACCAGAAGCGCCTTAAAGATACTTTCCGGAAGCGGACGTGGAGTAACGGGTAGGAAAGATTTCACGTGACGCTCCATCTGAAATTTGCATTTAATGAGCTTTTTAAACATGCCTTTTGACTACCTGATCTCTTTCAAGTTTAAAGAGTTGGTTTCAATTAATTGGATTAGAGATACCGTTTGCTACGGGGTTTTCATTACCGGTTTTGTTCCCGTTCATTCCTTTGCCATATATATACAGTAGAGATTAGGCTCCCATGCATGACATCCATTCCATCACTCATGTCTTCTATCAGTAAATAAATTGCATAACATTATATCAATAGCGCATTTTCGGCGTTTTAAAGTCTGCAATAACGATTCGTTCATTTTATAAATCGTGTGCGATAGGGGTATGGAAGGATTGGCGTAAACACGCCTCCCTTGTATCTCCATCCATCTTCCAACGCTTGTTTGATTTGCTTCATTGTGTTACACTGGGCTCCCTAAAACGCCACGCTGCTTGCGGATTTATCTTGGGTTAAGCTGGTTCGGACCTCGCTAACCTTAAGCGATTCCCCCCAGCCTGTTTACATGAGGCTAAGTTAGTCATGCAGTCCGCACCCTGGTTAACCACCATCTGCAGGTTAAGGGCGAAGAGAGGTGATCGCGTGACCCGGCACGAGTGACTGGATAAATAATCCTGCGGAAATTCAATGTCTCACGCCGCTTATTTCTCCCGATTCATGCCGGTTCATTAAGTAATGAGAACATAGTTATTGGAGGTGTGAATGCACCTGGCGGGCCGGGTTGGGAGGATTTCTGAGGGATCTCTATGCGTTTGGGATTGCTGTATTCACACCTTGGTGCCGTTTATGTAAGGACGCTTTTTTCAGATGAACCTTTCAAAGGTAAAGCACCTGACTGTGGTGACTGTTACCTTTGCTCCGCAGGCTTGTGCGGTGTCTCATTTACTATACCGTCCAGACATTACGCCGTGATACAGTGTTTTGATGGTATTTCCAAAAGTAACGCTGTTCCGATATTTTGAAATCTTGGTAGCCTATGATAAATTTATCCAAATGACCTCTTATGTCGGTAAGATGTCAGAATAGCGCAGTATGTGCCAAACTTCCCGTTTTCTCTCGCTGTGTGACGGTTTCCTGCATGCATTTCTCTTCGCAGTCGTTGGATTAAAACTCATGTTTATGTTTCACGTTATAAGTTTTGTCACAGACACTGTGTGCCGGTATGTATTAATGCTTTTTCCATCTACTCCATAGATTGTGCTCAAAAATTGAAAAAGGACCTAATAGAAAGAAAGGTGATAAATAAATAAAAAATGGCAAGATAATTATGCTAGATGAAAGGAAAGGAAGGCCATCGTTTTTGTCTCTGTTCATCTGAAGTCCCCTGACGTTCCGCGACTGGTATTCGTGTAACAGAGGAGGTGCAGTGTGGTCAGGCTAGCGGTCTGTTAGTGCTGGAAGTTTCCCCTTAAGCACCATAGTGACCTGTGATCGTCACATCCCGTCTCACTCCACATCTCTCCGTATTCCAGGTGATGTGAGCCACATCTCAGCTTCTGTCTTTCTTGGATCCACGCTACGTCAGCCCCCCCCCACATGGGCTGGGCAGGATGTAATACCTCTGAGGAGCTCCCCTCTTCATTTACCCCGATCCAGGTGTGAGTGTTGGGGGGGGGCGCAGGATGTTTGAGGTGAAGCCCATGAGTTTGGAGAAGGACTCCAGTGCTGGCAAGGGTGAGTGTCTACATTCTGTAGCCTTTGGAGGATGAGCACTGGGACAGGGGGACGTCACACGCACCTCCAGTCTGGGGACAGGGGGACCTCACACGCACCGCCAGTCTGGGGACAGGGGGACGTCACACGCACCTCCAGTCTGGGGACAGGGGGACCTCACACGCACCGCCAGTCTGGGGACAGGGGGACATCACACGCACCTCCAGTCTGGGGACAGGGGGACCTCACACGCACCTCCAGTCTGCCTCCTGTTAAATTAAAAGCCCTCACATCACACTGATAACCTTGTTCAAGGCCAGAGGCCCAAATAAAGGTTTCTTCATTGTTCCATTGCTCATGTCTGCCTGAAGATGGGAGGTGTTTGTAGGTCCTTGACCCGGTGAGTCACATGACCAGTCATCCAGCAGACAGGACATGTCCTCTGGTCGTGTGGCTTTGTTACACGGAGCTCAGATTTGTCACAGGGTGGCCGCTTACGTTTGTGGGTATCTTGTGTAATGCCACACAGGCTGCTGTGCTGAAATCGATAGTGTATGCATACACACACACAAGCACCCACCCGCAAACCCCTCCGTCTGTCGCATGAACTGCGCTGTTGCGGCATGCATCCTTCCCGGTGACCCCGCCGTCGATGTGTTTCCTCAGGTGGCGAGCACGGAGCGAACCCCACCCAGTTTGAGTCTCTGGGGACAGGCTGCCCGTCGCTGTACCTCTATGACAGCCATGAGTGGGTGCTGTCAGCCGGCTGCTCGCCGGAGGAGCCCGAGGGCCTCTCGCCCCTGCTGGCCGAGGAGACCCTGCGCTACATGAGTGAGTTTCCTGCCTGCTGCGGAGGGGGCGGGGGCTCGCTGGGCTGGCTTGTGCTGATGCATCATGATGGGCATCGTTAGAGACGCAGCTGCTGTGGTTCCTGTTCTCCGAAGTGTCGGACGGTTTACGGCATGCCATGACAATGAATGCGTGTGCTTTTCCATTTAATGGCGGTAACCATGAGGATCTTGTGGTCACATGTCCATAGTACTTTGAGTACAATTGGCAGTGGTGTTCCGTGACTGAAATGAAATGTATGTATTTTGCTGTTACCTGATGATTTATCCAAGAATGTCCCATAAGTCGCTCAGAGTATTTCTGAGAGTGTTGCGACAGCTCGTCTGTAGATTCTGGGGTTGACTTCCTGTTTGCATGGCACCGTGTGCCATTGTGTCCCTAGATGCCCTTCGCTCTGTCGATGAGCTACCGTTGTTGCTGATTGGCCAGACTGTTTTAGGTGTGTGTGTGTGTGTGTGTGTGTGTGTGTGTGTGTGTGTGTGTGCATGCGCGTGCATGCTTGCTGCAGAGATGTCTGCGTGTGTATATGCATGTTCCTGCTTTAGAGATGCACGCGTGTGTGTCTGTGTATCTTGTTTAGAGATGCGCACGCTTGTGTGTGTGTGTGTGTGTGTGTGCGTGCGCGCGCCTCTGCCTGCATTAGAGATAGCCGTGCGTGTGCCCAGCAGAGGCACGGGAATCCGACCGGCTGGTACAAGGTGACGAAGCAAGGGAGGTGGCGGAGGAGAGCGTAGAGGTGGAGGGAGCGCAGAGCGGCGCGGCGGGGGGCTAATGGGGGACATGCCGCTGTTCGGCGGCACCAACGCAGACAGCAAGGAGGAGCTTTACGAGAGCTTCGCCGTGCAAGGTGGGCATGCATGCGTGCGCAGGCGGGCGTGTCCTTAAATCTATGCCTCGCAAGGTCACTGTGAGCAGCGTCGCGGGAAATGCACCTGCATCCACCTCGGGGGGGGGGGGCAGTTTACCGGCCGTTTCCAAGAATAGCGGCGGCTTGTGTTCCTGAGCGTGGTTACGGGCCACATGAATGCTAGCAAAGTACCGTCATGGAGTGCGAGTGACCCCGCCCCCATCGCCATGGCAGCAGACCTGTCATATACGCTGCCCCACTTATGCTTTCTATAAATACCAGTCAGCAAGGGCGTGTAGCGGGACACCTCACTCTCAGCTCATGTTTGGCGGGGGACAGGGAATCGAGGAGCTTCGGACGCAGACGCTGGTTAATTGGTTCATGGCAATTAACCATCCGTCACCTTTACTACCGTTCCGATTCAGACGCCGTAACTGACTGGTTACCCTTCATGGAAAAACAAACGTGTCGCAGTAGCGTGTCGCATCCGTGTGCTGTAATGCAGCTCAGCTTGTTTAATTGTGTAGTGGCTCATGAATTCCGCTATTGTTGTGTCGCATACTCGTCTATTGGATTAACTGCAGTACTGAGAGCCGTTCCCTGTAGACAAGCAGAAATTCCTCGTGACCACAGGTCACCTCCAGTGACACTGGGGACATTGGACAATGTTGAATGGTTTTCATTGTTAAAAACGTGGTGACACTTAGAGCCTGTCATTTCCTGCAGAGAAAAAAGCTCCCAAAGAAATGCAGAGGACTGGGAGTGTGTCATTTAGCATAACTGGTAAGAAATACATTTCAAAGTGACATTTAATCTGCAGAGAAGGTAATTTGACTGTATTGTTTGTGCTTGAGTGGCACGGCACTGAAAATGGTGTGGAAAGCGTGTTTGGTCAGCTCTGCCTTGGAGAGGCCCTTGGCCCCCGGGGGTGATGCGGACGCTGAATCTCTGAGGATCCTGATACACATGAATGCCAACCCTGAAGGCTTGCAGTCAAAACACGCTGAAAATGCTGCTTTGCTGGTGTTCAGAGGCTGTTTCTGGAAAAACCCGCCCATCCGGTCTCTGTCATGCTTGTGGGTGGGGTGGGGTGGGGTGGGGTGGGGAGGATTTCAAAATTCTATCACATCTTCATATTTATATACCCATTTGGTGTAATGGGTGGTGTTGATGGTGGAGACCTACTGGGAGTGCCGCACATTGACCAGTGAGAGTGTGAGTGTGATTGTTAAACCGGTTGCCTTTCAGACTTCAGATCTTCTGTAGGCTGTGAATGGCTGGATTGACTTTGGGGGGTCTGCGTGTCACGGAGGACAGACAGACTAAGGGCCTGTTCCTCTTCTCGCGTAGGTGCTCTCGGTGAGAGAGGGACCACTGGCACAAGGTTCAGTTGAGGTCTTGGGCGGTAAAGCATCATTAGACCCCGTCATTAACGGCCCTTTCCCTTGCACTTCTCTCTTCCCTCCTGCCCTCTTTCTTCCTACCTCTCTCTCTCTCTCTCTCTTCCTCATTCACTCCAGCCTTCCTCGCTCTGGAACCTTCCAGCCTCTCCCACCCCGGCTCCCACAGCCACTCTCAAGGTAATGTCTGTTTTCCTGTTGCCTCTCCACACTCTTCCCTTTTCTTGGTCTTTCTCTCCTCCCCCCCACTCATTCTCTTTCCTTGGCTCTCGCGCCCACAGTTCCATTCTCTCACCATCTTGGCACACTGGGGGGATGGGTACTGTAGAAGCTGCTGTAATCCCGCTGTAGGACTGTAGGGGGAGCCTGTGTAGACGTGCTCTCACTAGTGTGCCTGTAGTAAGAGGGGTAGCTTAGTGCTGAGCTTGGGCCTGTAGGCTTGCAGGGTGGGTTTGGACCTCAGGCTGAGTGTGTCTCCTTGTTTCTCGCTCCCCAGTCCTCAGCGGCGAGAGGGTGGAGCAGATGACCAAGACCTACAATGACATTGACATGGTTACTCACCTGCTTGCGGAGGTACCACTCGAAACTTCTTCTCCGCGTTTCGATCCCTTTATGGATGACCTCCCCAGATGCGAGGCTGTGACCGTGGTGGTCTGCGGCTGATCATACATCTTCGTTTCCCTGCCAGAGGGACCGCGACCTGGAGTTGGCCGCTCGCATCGGCCAGTCGCTGCTGCAGAGGAACCATGTGCTGCAGGAGCGAAACGAGGCTGTGGAGGAGCAACTGGCGCAGGCCCTGGACCAGGTGGGTGTTCCGCACACCCCGGCCAGCAGGAGGCGCTCACGAACACATCTGACCCCCAACGCCCCCCCGCCACCCCCAGATTCAGCAGCTGCAGCACGAGCTGGGCAAGAAGGATGAGCTGCTGCGTATAGTGGCCAGCGCCTCGGAGGAGAGCGAGAGCGACTCCAGCTGCTCCACACCGCTGCGTCGCAGCCACATCCCGGCCATGTCGCCCTCCCTAAGCCAGCTGGAGGCGCTGCAGAGAAAGCTGCAGGAGCTGGAGGAGGAGAACACGGAGCTGCGGTCTGAGGTGTGTCTCCGAGGGCCGCGCCTCCCTTAGGCTTCAAGGCTGCACGCTGAGCCTCCAGCTGAGCTGTTTAATCAACAAAACATTTGATGAATCTTAAGTTTTTGAGAAATGAAAATACTGTCAAGGCCCAAGGAGCATCGCTTAAGTTCGCACTGTTTTTGCGGAAGTTTTGAGCGTGATGTCATTGTAGTTGGTTATAAAAGGGGCGGGGTTTGTGCCCTCAAGCGGAAACAGGGCCGGTTAGGTGTGAAGAGAGACCCCATGTATGGTGTGAACCGGCACAGAGTTTGGAGTAAAGTACGGCGTAAAACGAATGTATCTGTGGCCCTTAAAAACGAAGTGGAAAATTACGTAATTCATAATTAAAAATAAAATGGAATAGGAAATAAAAACTAATGTAATATGCTAAAATGAAAAACATATGGATTGATACATGCATACATACTTTGGCTATCAATAACTGTCCCCCCCCCCACCCAGGCCTGCCTCCTGAAGTCTGAGACAATCACATACGAGGAGAAGGAGCAGAAGTTGGTCAACGATTGCGTCAAGGAGCTCCGTGAGTTCCGCCGCCGCTTTCCGAAGCGGACCAGTGACCTGGGCGCACATTTGGAATGGGGGGGGAGGTCATGATGTTTCCCGTTTCCCCGAGGGCAGGCGAGTCCAACAGCCAGATGATGACGCTGACGGACGAGCTGTCCCAGAAGAACGAGCAGGTCCTGCGTCACCAGGAAGAGATCTCTCAGCTGCTGTCCCAGATTGTGGAGCTGCAGCACAGGGTGAAGGAGGTGAGGATTTTCTGGGCCGGCGAGCAGCGCCCTCTGCAGGCAGCGAAGCAGAACCCAAACAGCGGAAGGAAAGGGCAGACATAGCCGGTCAGAGAGAATATGATGGATGGGGAAACTGGAAAATAAAGAAATAAAAATGACACCAGTGATCTCAGTCCTGGTCCCTGAAGGGATGTGATCTCACGCTCTACTGGTGTGGCAGAATGTGATCTTGTGCATGACTTGCCAGGCTGCAGGTGTGTACAGGTCCAGCATCTCTTCATATGCAGCTTTCACACTCATATTCCTGAAGCACAGGGATGTCAGACGTCCCACAGACAGGCCTGTGCTCTACCTAAGTTTCAGAGTTTTCCTCCTAGCAAAAATTCATCTGGCTGTATAGATGAGTCAAGCTGAGCTGCTCTGGATGACGGCTTGTCATGGCGGTGTCGTTTACCTGGCTGACAGTGACATTGTGTCTTCGCAGCTGGCCTTGGAGAAGGAGGAGCTGCGCATTCACCTGCAGGCCTCCAAAGACGCCCAAAGGCAGCTGACTGCGGAGGTGAGTCGGGCCCCACCCTCGGCCACCGCCGAGACCAGGCTAACCGGCGCCCCCTGGTGGGCTTCACGGCCTTCCTGTCTGCCCCGTTGTCCTGCAGCTGAAGGAGGTGCAGGACAGGAATGCTGAGTGCGTGGGCATGCTGCAGGAGTCCCAGGAGGAGGTGCGGGAGCTGCGCAGTAAGAGCACGCAGTCGGCGGGAGTGCGCAGGCACCTGCCCTACACGCTCTTCCCCGCGGTGAGTCCAGGGATCCCAGTCCACTCGCGGTGGGGGGGTCACACACCCCGGGCACCACTAACGGCCGTCCTCGGGTCTGTCCCTCAGGACTCCCTAGCTGCTGAGATCGAGGGATCCATGAACAGGGAGCTGAGCATGGAGGATGAGAGTGTGCTTCAGGACCAGAGGTGGGCACTGGCTACCTGAGGATGGCTTTCAAATGACCTTAAAAGATGAGATTTCTTTGTAAATGTAAAGCTTTGATCGAGTGGGTGTACTGGTATAGTCTGAGACATCCCCCAGAACACTATGCCAAAAAATAAACTATGCAGCTTCTCCAGAACTTTCTCCAAGGCTCTTCTCCCCCCCCCCCAAATACAGGAGCTCCCAGAGGCGTGTCTTCCAGACCGTGCGCTCTGTGAATGAGTCAGTGCAGCGGCTCTCCCAGCCCATCCCCGGCTCCTCGCGCAGTTCTGTAGTCATGACTGCTCAGCCCTTCTGTTCCACCCTGCCTCCAGCAGAGGGCGACAGCAAGTGAGGCTCGTCTCTGTAACTCCAGTGTTCATTTTGACAGCATATTTTGATTTAGTTTGAGTCTTGGTCTTTTGATGATGTGTATATTTTTAATATTATTTTATTACATTTATGCCTCACATTGAGTCGACTGCATTTGCCAAATTCACTCAATTTCGGTGTCAAATGATGATGGCAATAAACATTTATCTTCTCTACCCTTCTCTCTCTGATGAAAATGCAGTTTAGTTTGTCATCTTTCCCAGGAAATTTGGTCGACTAAACCTATAGTACATGCAGTCAATGAAACTAACAGGTTTAGTCATAGTCTAATACTTCATTATCACTTTCCTTTGAAAATGTCACTTATTTTTCTGTGTACGCACAGAGAGACTGGTCAGAGAGGGACTCCATCCTCTACAATTTTCCAAATGAACATCTGTAAAGTTATGCCCTAGCATTGGGTCTTTAAGGACGCAGATTGCAAAGGTTGTAATGCGAAACATTGTAGAAATCCTAAAATAGCTTTTATATGAACCTCACAATAAAATCCAGCCAAGCCTAGCACAGGCATAAAGAGTTTAGAGACAGTCAGAGTTGCGTGGTTTACGCAGGGCAACTGGATCCACATTGTCCAATTGTGCAACTATATTCAGCACTAACTAAAGATACTTCTGGTTGAATCCATTTCAAATTAATTTCTTTCTGACATTGTTGTCTCATTTTTATTCATTGAAAAAACATTTTGCCATAGGGTAATCTTGACAAATAATTTTCATTGTCACCAAAAATAAAACACTTTCTCACTGTGCGATGCCCCCACTAGGCTGGGCTCTTCCATGTGCTAATTTGGGTTCATTAAACTCGTCCACCCAGTGAATTAAATTTCACTTCCAGGTTTATTACATAACGATCAAAGTCAGGCCATGGTTAATGTGCGATAGATTTCCATATCATTTGCTTTGTCATACCACTTGGGATTGTCCTGGACCTTGAACATCCAGCCTTTCACGCAGACACAATCTCAAATGCTGCAGCTCTTTGGACATTTCACATTTTTTAAAAAATGTTTGTCAAAAGAATTTTTGACCAACTACATTTAGTTTAAGTAGCTTGAAAGTAAGGATATCGGGCTGCAGTTGAAGCAGTAGCCTTTGTGTCAGTAAGCACCACTCTTGTTTTGCAGAAGTGCTATTTGTGATTCTAATTGCGTGTGTGTGTGTGTGTGGCAGGGGGCGGACGCAGACGGACCCCCCCAGGTCCCCTGCCGCCGAGGACGACCTCTCCTCCGCGCTGCACCGCCTCTCTCTGCGGCGGCAGAACTTCCTGTGCGAGCGGCGCTTCTTTCAGGCCGAGCAGAACGTGAAGCCATCGGCCCCGAACGCGGCCGCCCAGGGGGGCAAAGGCAGCGGCTACGGCTCCCCCAGCCGCAGCACCCTCTCTGCCCCCAACCTGCTGGAGATGTCCGTCACCCCCAGCTGCTTCAAGACCTTCCTGCCGGAGAAGCTGCAGATCGTCAAGCCGATGGAAGGTACCGTGCAAAGCATTGTGGGATAGCGGACAGCGTGGCCGACATCAGCGACTGACATGAAAGATTTTTCAAAGTCTGCAGTAAAAATATTTTGACGTTAGGAATAACCCATTGCTGTCCGGGTATTCAGAGTGAGCCTCTATGCCAGTGATCAGAAGGTTGCTGGTTTGAGCCCAGCCTCGGCAAAATAGTTACTTGTCTGAGGGCCCTTGAGCGAGGCCCTTAACCCCCAGCTGCCCTTCACTGTCCAAGCCTGCATATGTGTGTGTGTGTGTCATGGAGAGCCAGATGGGGTAGGCGAAAAGAGAATTTCCCTACTGGAATCGATTAAAGTTTTATCGTTATGAACAGTTGCATCGTCATGGTAACCTGTCAAGCTTTTCCTGAGGCCCCTGTTTGTTAGTGAAAACTGTAACACACACAGACCTTTGACCCACAGGCTCACTGACGCTGCACCATTGGCAGCAGCTGGCCCAGCCTCACCTGGCCACCATCTTGGACCCACACCCGGGTGTGGTCACCAAAGGGTTCCGGCCCCTTCCGCAGGACGCCGTGTACCACCTGACCGATCCGGAGGAGGACGACGACGAGTCAAAGGAGGCGTCCGCGTCAGACGGCCATTGTGGTGACCAGGAGAAGAGGAAGGGTGAAGAAGATGAGGAAGAGGAAGGCGGGATCACCTTTCGGGTTCAGCATGCATCCACGCCGGAGGAGAAGACGAGGAAGCGACAGGAGAGGCCTGTGGTTTTGCCCGTCCAATCAGTGCTTTCCCCTCATGACTCGCCTCCCCGTCCTGCACCTCCCAGTCACCCCGACCCCTGCTCTCCCTCTGCACCCCTCGATCCCACAAATAAGCTTCTCAACACCTCGGTGCCCTCTTCAGGTGAGTTTGGGAATAACACGCACACCTCTGTACCCACGCTTTGTAGACTTACCGTTCTCACAGAATGCAATGGCTGTACCTCTTCAGATCACAACCCAGGGAAGTGTCTAAGCTCCACCTGCTCCACCTACACCTTCACGACCTGCCGGATTCTGCACCCCAGTGACGTCACCCAGGTCACGGCGAGGTACAACCAGCCACTCCACTGTTTAGTGTTTATCGCAGGCATGTCCCGGATGTTTGGCTTGTGTGAATGTGGCTTGTGACTGGCTGCACCCCTCCCTCCTCTGCCTGTCCACCAGCTCTGTCGGAGGCCTCCTAGTGTCCACTCTGGGGAACATGCCCAGCTCCCTCCGCACGGGCCCCAGCACGCCCGTCACGCCCTGCCGCCTCAGCCTGGGCGACTCCTTCCCCCCTCGGCGCCCGTCGGGTCCCCGTGGCCTGGCCAAGCTGCTGCTGGAGAAGGGCATCTCCGCCCAGGTGTCGGCCAGGAGCCGTCCGCTGAAACCCAAGCCCTCCCAGCGACCGGCCACGCCCCCCAACTCGCCACACCCTGCCCTGTCACCCACCCTGCCGTCATTTGAGGCCCCCGGCGCCACCGGCTCTGAGAACTTCCTGGCATCGCGTCCCGCTGAGCTCTTCCTGCAGGATGTGTATGGGCTGAAGCCGGGCCGGGCCGGCGTGGGGCTTCTGCAGCGGCTCCGTCGGCTGGGGCTCGCCACGGTGCTGCCGGCAGATGCCGTAGCGTCAGATGGGCACCGAAATCAGGACGCCGCTACCATCCTGGCCACCAGCAGGGGGAGCCTTCTGGACGGCCTTCGGCGGAACCAGAGTCTTCCGGCTATGATGAGCGGCCGAGCTCCATGTGTTACTAGCCCGGTACAGCTGCCCCGAGCCATGCCCTCGGATCCCACCACCCTCACCCTACCCATAACCCCCTGGGGCAGCCTGAAGGAGCCAGACCTCATGCATTCTTCAGAGGCTCCACTTCCTCCATCTGCCCCCAAATCCTAAGGTCCAGACACAACTGAGATTGGGGGGGCAGGGAAATTGCCTTATATGCTTCACCCCTTTTTCCAGAAACCAAATCATGCGTCATGCATTAGTTATAAAGAAAAAACCTCCATCCATTGTTTTGGTTTAATTTGGCCGTTAAGCTCTGGAGACTTTCGCTGTCTGAACACGGCGAGAGCTGCAACTCGGAGGGTAACGGCACGGCCAAGTGTTAAGGGGGACCGGCTGTCCACACCTCGCGTCCCCCCGGAGCTCGGAAGGTCAGGAACGTAGATGTGAATCGTGCAAGTCGGCGTCGGTGCGAGGAAGTAGGGCGGAGGGTAGCAGGATGAAAGGAGACGACGGTGTAAGAGAAGCGGAAGGATGATGAGGCAGAGCGACTGCAGGGATGGTTTGTGATGTTTGAGGAGAGACTGGATTCTGGGAAAGAAAAGCGGGAACTTCTTGCAGAGGGTTCTGATGAAGTCTTTACGGTGTCTACCTCCAAGGAAGGGTTTTTACGCATTGTAGTGGTAATTATGCTTATAACCATTTAAGTGTTACGATTAGATACAGCCAGTGCAGCAGCCTTTTAGTGAAATACCTAGCTATAGTTTGCCGTGCCGGATGAAGGCCGATCATGCACAATTTGAAAAATGAAGTGTGTTGCTTTTGTTGACACCTGGGAGAGCTCAGTAGATAACCTGAGCAGGGATACGCATATCAGAGGTCAGTAACTCCACATTGTGGGTTTCAGGCACCTCTGTTAGTGCCCAACTTGCACTTGAAATGAGATTACGGTAAAGCGAGAACCAGGGTAATGTTTGGAGTCAACGGCCTTGATGGCGGGCAGAGCTCTGCTTGAATTACAAGCAGGTTGGAGATTGAAAGGGGAAGCACAGGAGGTGGGGCGGTGGGGGAACAACATTAGCACATTCGGAGTGCTGTACAAATGTTCTGATCCGATATTCAGTGTGACTCCCTGAGGTGTCGACTGACTGTCAGGGTTCAAATCAAAGATGCACAGGTGGAGGACGGGTGATATGGTGCAGTTAATTGGTTACCACAGCTATCGATAACAGGATATGGGTAGCATTTGATTGTGACCCCTGACCCCATTGTGACTTCTGTGTGACCCTGATTCCAGGCTGCTTGTTTAGCTGATTTACAGCACTTTTATTAATTTTAACTAATAAATATTATTGGAACAGATGGCTTAGTATTTATTATTAACAGTAATACGTTGCAAAATCACCATTTAATGGAAAACCTAACTAGATCATTTTTGTTCTGAGGTAAGGATTTTGTGGTCCATTTTCTTTGTTTTTGCCTTATTGTATAAACCGTTGAGCGAATATGAGATTATCTGTAAATATCTGTAAACAAATCTGTCCTGTTTCTGAACTGCTTTTGTGCTAATGCTGCCTGCAGTGGTGGGGGGGGGGGGTTTAACATTGCTTGTTTTAACCTTGGGACTTCGCTAACAGGCAGGGGGCGTCTCTTACCGATCCTGGCGACAGAGATCCATCGTCATTGGCTGTTGGCTGGTTTCCCCTGCGGCACTGAAAGCGAATCAGGATGCAGGTTTACCGGCATCATGCCGTCCACAGCACTACATGCCCCAATATGACACATAAGTGTTAAGATGGGCTGGTTCACTGCAAGTGAGGGGAATGTACATATAACCTCTTTCAACCCCCCCCCCTTCGAAACTGAGAAGTCATTGCTGGTGATGTTTTTCTTTTTTCTCCAATAAAGCAGATTTTAAGAATGACAAACGAGTGCTGAGGTTCTGAATGTTCACTTGAGTTGTGAGCCTAAAACAGAGGGCCCCTACTATTTATTTCCCAAAAGTGAAAATCCATCTGCAGCAGGTCCCCCCCCCCCAAAAAAAAAAAAAACCTGAGTGTGATGGTCCCTAGTAGCAAAATTTGCTAAGTGGGTGGGACCAATCAATCAGGCAGGACTCCAAGCCCTTCAAGTTTTTTTTTTTAACAACCAAATGTTGCTTAAAAAAAATGCAGTTCATGAAATGAATTTAACATTGAGGGGAAAAAAGAAACTGACTTATACAACCATTGAATGTGACCATACCATGAAAAAAGTACTCGGCTGTAGTAATAAGTAATTCAAATGGAACGACCCATATTTAACATCTTGTTGGGTAATCAGTTGAGTCCATATGCTTTTTTGGGCCGAGGAGGACGGTGCTGTGGTGACTCCCTGAGCTTATGTGCACTCAGATACCCGGGAGGTACCACTTACTGTCTGTATAGCACAGAGGTTGATCACCATGATAAACAGAGATGCACATGTGTAGGTAAGAGCAGGGTTTGGGGTCAGTGAACAGGGTCCGTGAGTGCCCAGAACCCTACCCCAATGAGATACACACCACCCCCAACAAATATAGACCAGAGGTGGGAAGTTCCAGTCCAGGTTTTCTTTCAACCAACTAGTTGAATATAAAGAGTCACCGAGTACTTAGCTGGTTGGCTGAAACAGAACCTTGGCCTGGACCTGAACTTTCCAGCTCTGATAAAGACCAAACATAATCTCAAATGTTTCCACATGAAACTGTAAGTGCATAAAAGTCAGTGGTTTTTAAGCGGCAGGAAGAAGTTAGTCGAGTGTTGGTTTAAAACCAAAAGCAGCACAGAATGCACAACAATATGCAGATTCTCTCCTTCCTGGAACCCTAGTCTCGGCAATTCCGGCGAGGTACAGCAGGGCGTGGTGGGAGACTCCTTATCTGACGGGAGTGTCTGGGAAGCTACACTGAAGAGCTTGTAGGAAATAAAATCAACACGAGTAAGTAAACACCCTCCCACAGTCTGGCCCACATTAAATATTTTATTTTAAACAATGAAATCTGTCTTTTATTATTATTATTACTACTCGCCTCTGTTTTAATTCTACACTTCTGCACCTACGGCTGAGTTCCTTATTTTCCTATTTACCGCTGCCCTAGTGCTTGCAAAAGGCACCGAAACGTATTGTGTACTCGTGAGTGTATTATTTCAAGAGTTGTAGTCGAGTAATTGTGTGAATATATTAGAATGAAATGATATTGTTTAATTTTGCACCAACTAACTTACTTTTATCGGGTCCTCGGTTGGCTTTCCTTCCCCGGCTCTGTGTTTATGGGGTTTGCACGCCCCACCCCAGTAGATAAGTATTTGAAAACTGAAAGTCGAACGCCTACAAAATATATTTTTAAAAATGCGTCGTTTAGATTCAGTTTTAATTTCAAGAAGTACTAAGTAAAATTAGTTTTATATATGCATACATATTAGAGCTATTATAGGCTATACCGAGGCTCAAAAGTTTCATGACATTTCACACTCGCGGAAGTTGCTGCTTATTTGCTTAATGCAGACGCGTTTACGTCACGACCTGACACAAGCATGTCGTCAGGAATCCACCCCCCAAAAAATCCCGGGCAGTATGCAACTCCGGATAGTTTGTTTTGCTGTATTATTGGTTAGATCACGCTGTATACTGTAGTTATAAAAACTGTTGAATAGGAAGGGGAATCGGTAGGAGTGAGAAATCAGGTTTAAATTTAAGTGCAGTCCATTTCATCCTGTTACGTTGATCTTCGTTTTGACGCTTAAAATAATCTCGTAACGCGAAGCAAACTCGGAACAAGTTTTTACGGTTTCTGCTGAGACTAAGTCACTGTATAACCCAGCAGTCGGTGGGGCGCTTCGTTCAGTAACATGGTCTTGGAGGTGCTTCAGAAGATCGATCAGGAGCTCGGCACGGAAGACATCGCCGCACTCAAATTCCTATGCAGGGACCACATTCCCTTAAGGAAACTAGAGGGTGTGAAGGAGGGACTCGACCTATTCCTGATACTACAAGACGTAGCGATGCTGGAAGACAACGGTCTCTTTCTAAAGGAGCTGCTGGATACAATCGGACGCAATGATCTGGGGCAAAAACTGGAAAAGAGCTGCAGCCGAGTAGCGCCTCAGCCTGGGAATCAAACGCAAGTTGCCAATATCTCTCCTTATCGGTGAGAATGAACTCCCCTGTTTCATACACGGTTTTTAAGCGTTTGTGTGAACTATTTCTTTAAATTACATTTTAATGTTAATGTTTAATGTTCCTAATTAACATCAGGAAGATGCTTTATGTACTGTCTGAAAATGTGACCGAGGACTGTCTGAAAAGCATGAAGTACCTGGTGAGAATGCCTCGTGGCCAAAAGCAGCGGTGCAAGGTGAGTAAAGTTCAGGCCCGCTGAGGCTGGGTTTGGCTTCTGGGTCTGGGCTGTTTTAGTGGTGCGACGTATACGAACATTTTAATGGAAACGCTTTACTTGCTGGGGCACGAATACTTAGTAATAACTCTGTTACTACTGAAGTACAAATCATGAACAAATACAGTTGCTACTTGAGATAAAAGATGTCACGATTCATTAATGGTGAACAAACATGACATCAGTATTCCACTTGTGTTATTCATTACTTGTTCCTTCTGTAGTTCGCAAATATTACAATTCATTAATGATGAATTAACATGAGATCAGTGTGGTGTGTAACTAAGACTTAGTTTGTGGTTAATAAATACGTAAGTAATAGTATAATGCTATAATTTTTATGCCCTGTCAAGTAAAGTGTTATGGTTTTAATTAAAATGTCTGATTATGCTTGTTTCTGTGGGACTCCTGCTTACTTGGTGTCCTGTTCTGCCTGCCGCAGACCTTTCTGGAGCTGCTGGTGGAAATGGAGAAAATGAGCCTCTTGGCTGAGAATAATCTAACAGAGCTAGAGAGAGTTTGCTCACTATGCAGCAAGCAGTTGTCTCAAAAACTGGAAGATTATATTGCAGGTGAGAGGGAGACCTGTTTTTGTAGCTATATTCTACCTAATAATTACGCCACTTCATCCGCTTGGCACGGGGGTAATTTCATATTAATTCAACTAACTCCCAAAAATGGTTTTGCGTCTCCATTTATTTTTTTTTTTTGGTGAAATTTGTCACGTGAATTACACATACCTACTAGAGCTCAGGATTATTTGTTATCTAAACAGCAAATTCCCTTTCTGATGTAGCACCCTTTCAAAACCTGGGAAGCTAAAAAATTATAATTTGCAGCATGTTCTTATGAGCTGTAACTTTATAATTATAGATAAATGGCATAGTTATAGCTTATTGGAAAGATCCAAAAACACAGGCCTATTTTTTTCATGGTATGGATGAAAAGCATGGAATGTGGTGGTGGTGTGATCAAGATGATTACTGGTGCTACTCTACATGTGCTCTACTGGCTCATTTCACGTTTCTACATGTGCTCTGCCGGCTAGCAATGTGACTTCAAACTCTCCTTTGGCTTTATTCTTAAGGTCTCCCTTATTCATTTGAAGGTTAAAGAATAAAGTGATTGAAAATGTAACACAATAAAATTCATGCATGGTATATATGCACCACCCAGTGACAGAACGTGAAAGCTGGCTGAGCACATTCTAAAGGAGTACTGAGTGACTAATTGAGCAGAAACTTGGTTAGGGGTGTGGATCTCCCATCTCTCTTTCAGTAGAAATAAAAGGGTGTGATGTGGCCCTGTAAATTTGACCAGTGGTATGTCTGGACTTATGTGGGACATGGCCATCAACCTCAGACTGTTAATATGACTTAAAACCCGTTTATACTCTCTAGTTTTTAAGATGGGATTTAAAAACATGAACAGAGGGTGCAGATCTGATGGCTTGGGGGAGACTGTTCCACAATTTGGGGGCTGTGACCCAGAACGCATGGTCATCTTCTAGTTTCTGTTTGGAGCGAGGGATCATTAGAGAACCGATTTCTAACGACCTGAGGGACCTGGAGGTTGTGCAGCGATATATGAGATGTGTGGCACATGTGGGGGCTAAGCTATTGAAGGCTTTATAGACAAACATGCAGGAGGATCTTAAAATCAGTCCTAATGTGGACTGAGAGCCAGTGAAGAGAGGCCAGGGTAATGGTCATGGGATCGCTCTTTTCTGGAGCCAATGAGAAGCCTCACGGCAATGTCCTGAACAACTGTTTGATTCTGGTATATTGGGAGATGCAATAATCAAGCCTTGAGGAGATGAATGCATGGATGACTAATTCAAGGTGACTTGAAGAGAGGAAAGGATTCATTTCTGAAGTGGTTCTGAGCTGGCAGAAACTGGATTTGACAACTGCATTAACCTGTTTGTCAAACTTGAGATCAAACACTTTACACACTTTAAGCTACACATCAGGTACACTTTTTTATGAAATAAATGGATTAAAAGGGACTGTGATTAGTGTGTAGTTTTTTTTTTATTATTTTGTAAGTTCAGGGCCTCGTAACTCCAACCCCCCTTTGAATAACAACGTTTGATATTTTTCATATGAAGGCAGATAAACAGAACTTTACCATGTGAAATTTTTTTATCCCTCCCCCCACATTTCTTTCTTGAGGCTCAAAAATAGATTTTAAAAATAAATAAATGAAAGAGCTCAGGGCGAATGTCTTCCGCCCCTGGACCCTTACCACCAAAGAGTTTTCTGACTACTTCAGTGGCCTCAGCCCTAGAGAGAGGCACGTCCCCCTCCAAGTCCTCCAGCCAGGGGCGTTGCTAGAGATTTTGGGCCCCATGAAAGCATATCATATTAGGCCCCCCAGTCCAAACCAATCCAGTTATTTTCCTAATTTTTTAGGGCCCCTGTCACTCAGGGGCCCTTGGAATCGTCCTAGCTTTCCTCCCCCTTACGGCGCCCCTGCCTCCAGCTCTACTTCCCCCCCATGGAAGGTGCATCAGTGAGATTCAGGAGATCCCTGAAATATTCCTTCTACCGCCTGACATTATCCCCAGTTGAGATGAACAGCTCTGGATCCCCGCTGTAACAGCATGGGTGAGGCCCTGCTCCCCCCACAAGTCGCCTGATGGTTTGCTAGAACGTTTTCGAGATCATCCAGAAGTCCCTCTCCATAGGCTCATCAAACTCCTCCCACACCCGAGTTTTTGCCTCTGCAATCACCAAAGCCGCTTTCCGCTTGGCCGGCTTTGTCAGCTGCTTCCTGAGTCCCACAAGCTAAACAAGCTCGGAAGGACTCCTCCTTCAGCCAGACACCACCGGGTTTAGGGATTGCCGCCACGACAGGCACCAACAACTTTACGGCCGCAGTAAAGAACACTCGGAGCCCTTCCGCCAACTCAAAGTCAAAGGGAAGTGATCGTCTTGTCCACCGGGGTAAATTCCAATGCACCGGCACCAAACCGGGGGGCTATAAGTAAGCCCACCCCTGCCTGGCGCCTCTCCCCATGGGCAACTGCAGAGTGGAATAGAGTCCAGCCCCTCTCCAAGAGTTTGGTTCTAGATCCCAAGCTGTGAATCAAGGTGAGCCTAACTATATATAGTCGGTATCTCTCTACCTCCCGCCCCTTTCCCACCAGAGAGCCGGTTTTGGTAACCAACGATGGGTCTGTCAAGGCCCCAGCTCTCGAATGCCACCGGATCTACACTGCACCCAACCCCCATGGCTCCTCCTGCGGGTGGTGAGCCCACAGGGGAACGAACCTATGTTACCTCTTTGATCTATGCCCGGTTGAGCCCCATGGGTGGAGGCCCGGCCACCAGGCGCTCGTATGTGAGCTCCCGCCATTGACTTGGCTCCAGGCCGAGGCCCAGTCTCCCCCATCCGGACAGGGTAACATCCTTCTTCATTTTCTTCTTCATAGGGTCTATATGAACTGCACTTAGGCCAGCTGCTCACTTAGGACCGATTGTCCTTGGGAGACCCTACCAGGGGCAGAAGCCCCCGACATCACAGGTCCTAGGATCATAGGGGCACACAAACCCCTCCACCACAATGAAGTGGCCATTCATGGAGGGGGAGATGAACTCTGACCCCGAAAAAGAAACTTAGACAAATGCAAAAATTTTTGTCCATATCATGAGAAAGGACTCTGCCTGAGCTTTATACAGAGCTATCGCCATTACCTGAAAATGTAATACTAAAACAGTTACAGCTTATATAAAACACCCTGCAATACCTTTTTTGGGCTAATGGTGGTTTAGAAAAGACACTATATCTAAGGGAAATTAAAAAAATATATATATTCTGAGTTCTGGATGGTATGTGTGATTCACTTGCCAAATTTCATCCGAATCAAAAATGGTGACACGAAGGCCATTTGTTGAACTGAATAATCCACTGAAGTAGAGGTAATTTAAATATAAATTAAAATGTATTCATGTAAATTAACATACAAATATGCTGGCATTTTCTTCATTCTCTTCACAAAGTAGTGTTTGGCGTTGAAGTTGTTTTCTTTATGACCGTTTACCCCTCAGAGGTGATGCTGATCTGTTCTTCTCTGCCGATACCAGTGTTTTCACCTGCTTCACACATGTTTGCTGACCTTTTGCTCTGGTATTCTGAAACTCCTGACTATTTCCAAGACATCTAATTTCTTTTTTTCAGGTGAAAATAGACAGGAAGTGTCTCTGGGTGTAGGGCCACTGAACTCCATTAATGAGGTGAGCTGATTTACAAATAAATTGCATAATATTCATATCAACGATGCTGCAGGACTCCCGCTGCAGACATTCTTCAGTTTGAGATGACTGTGTGTCTTAATACCATAGAATGAAGTTTATGACATGAGTCATCGGCCACGTGGATACTGTCTCATCATAAACAACCACAACTTTGAGGAGGCCAGGAAGAACAGCGTTCCTCTGAAAGATCGTCGAGGGACAGAGCATGATGAAAGTGGGGTCTATCTTGTTCTTTTACATATGCGTATATCTGGTTTTCAAAGAGGCGAAGGAATCCTTGACAGATGGGCCAATATTAAGAAGAACATTGAGAAGGAGCATGTGTTTTGTAACATTCTAACATAATTTAACAGCTAACATATACATCAATAACAAACATACAGTGATATGGTTAGACTGTTTTTATCATATAATATTTGTTATTAATGTATGTTAAAGCTGTTACGTTGTATTAGGAGGTTAAGGTATACTTACATGCTGCATATGAATGTTCTATGAATGCATTATGAAGGTGCAGTTAATGTAAAGCGTTACCAAATAGATAATACTATATCATGGACGTTTTTGTGTTTGTATTGACGCAGAATAATTCACAGAGGGTCTCTTGTGTGCTCTGTTGTGTTAAACGTGTCATGTTTGTTCGCTTCTCTCTGCGATCTCAGGCAGCCTGAGTGAGATCTTCAACAAACTGCACTTTAAAGTCGAAGTACGAAGAGACCAGGCCCAGGCTGCAATTGTGGAGCAAGTGAAGGAGTTTGGGCAGCTGGACCACAGAGAGATGGACGCCTTCGTTTGCTGCCTGCTGTCCCACGGCGAGCTGGGCGCGGTGTACGGCACGGACGGCCAACTGGTCACCATCCGCAGTATTACACGGCCCTTCACTGGCATCCAGTGTCCATCACTGGCCAGGAAACCCAAGCTATTCTTCATTCAGGCGTGCCAGGGCAAGAAGAAGCAGCGGGCCGTCAGTATCCAGTCCGATGGGATGGAGGACCACTGCGAAGCGGACGACGGCTGCATCATCCCAGACGCCATTCCTGACACCATCCCCGATGAGTCAGACCTCCTCCTGAGCATGGCCACGGTGGAAGAATTCATATCCTTCCGCAGTATTTCCCAAGGCTCTATCTTCATTCAGGAGCTTTGCCGTCAGCTTAGGACAGGCTGTGACAGGTTAGAGCACAGAGCGAAGTCGGCCAATCAGAGCGAACCAGCAGCTCCTCTGGTTGGGGTTGAAAAGACGACTGGGGATGACAGTACAGGCCTGTGTTACGACATTTTGATGTTGAACCAATGGGAAGTTTTTGTCTCTGTGTTATGGCAGGAATGAAGACATCCTGACCATCCTGACCCGGGTGAATCGTGCTGTGAGCTGTGGAGAATATCAACAGGCTAAGCAGATGCCGGAGCCCAGGTACACGCTGACGAAGAAGCTGATCCTTCCATTCAACTGAGACACTGCTTGCCTTGTGTGTCTTCAGCAGCACCGGTTCCCTCATCATCCTCCCTGGAGACCCTAGTATAAAGCTCTAAGGCAAGGAAATGTGTGGGTCGTATAGATCAGAATTAGGATTAGGCGGCTTCAGCCGTAAAACAATGATCACTTGAGTGAAACAACGCTTGGGAATGCTAAGTAAGGTGGATATATGGTGTCAGGAGAAAGGCTTTGAAATCCGTGGTGGGTGGGGCTTGCTGTACCCCGTATATCGCTTCCTGATGTAACCCAAAAGGAGCCAGTTCAATTACCGGTGGAAAGAGGGTTAATTCAGGTGTTAATTGGCAGCACACGATATTCCCTTTGCATTATGGGGATTTGAAGCTTCATGTCTCTGATTACCATTTCCCGAAACAATAGTGTCTGTATCATGCATGGGCAAGCCTGCTTCTTCAAAGTAAACAACCTTATAAACAATGTGCTTATTCTGGTTAGACATGATTAGACAAGCTTCAGCTTGACTTGGCTTCTGGGTGAAACCATTTACTTTTCAAATCTGCTGTTGTATAAATTTATATGTATGTGCCATTTTTATGTAACGCTTGGTCAGTAGATTAATTTCATTTATAGCTTTATAAATAATATTCATACTTTAACATTCATAAAAGAGTAGCTCTGAGGTTTTCCCTGATTTAAGGTAATGTGTAATGGAATTGGTGAAGATTTTACAAGGACTTCAAATGCCTAAGAACCACACTCAAGAAGAAGCCTTTAATGAGCAAATATTTATTTTATAAAAATGAAACTTTACATAAGTGTGCTCGTTATTACTAACAAAAGACAACAATAAAATCCCTGAACCTGAACCATGCTAACTTTATAAAAAGCACTTTATAAACCAGCTAAGTATTTTGTACTGTGAAAAAAAAGCAATAAAGGTGGCAGAAATGTAGTATGTACTTGGTGTTCTTTGTTGAGAATGCTGGGGGTCATTGGTAAGGAGTCCCCTGGACACCGCTGTCTTATTCAGGCACCCTGAACACCAGCTTCTTCGTCAGAGTGTATTTTGGCTCTGGCATCTGTTTGGCCAGGCAAACTACCCCATTGTGCTTCATGGTCTCGTTCATCCTGCTCACCTCCTCGTTGACTCTGGTGAGGATGGAATGGATATCCTCACCGCTGGAAAGAACGGAATATAGAACAGGAATGTTTACTGGGATCAGGCTAGAATTAATTCCATCCACCTTGCATATCTGCTGACCCAGTACTGGATCTTTGTAAACATGGAGTTTTTACCAAGAAGGACAGAACATGAGGCAGGGGTTATCCCGAGAGGAATCCCAGGACATCAAATCGCACCCACAGTCAAGGGTGTAGGAGAGAGTTTATATTGGGGAATAATATAAATGCAAAATTCTATTTGGTAACATTTAACTTGAGGGGGCACAAGTAACTTAGTGATTCAGTTACTATTCAAGTCATGAACAAATATATACAGTGGGATCTGCTTATAGTGATCACGGTTATAGTGGTCAACTGCTTATATGGGTCAAAAAGCTTCGGACAGAATCATTCCTGTACAAATACTGTTATAATATAATAATATAATATAATTTGCTTATAATTAGTCTGCTTTCAGTGTTTATTTTGGGTCTTTTTATACATGACAACATATGGAAAAAAATAAAATAAAGCTGCAGTAATAATTATTTTTTACTTTACTTTGATAGCCCTACTTTGCCTTTCTGTAGCTCATCTGGCTAGCTACCTGAGGCTAATGCTGCGTACACAGAAAACACGACAGGTAAAAGAAAGTCATTTTCTCCCAATGACAAATATATTATCATCAAAGATTACGATGAACTGCCAAAAATGAGTCAATGAGATGCAGCAATGAAACCACAATAAGCTGTATTTTAAATAAAATACTGTATTATAGTGTATTTGAGTTATATGGTTCAGTGATTTAATTTGTACAGTACTGTGATTTGAAAAGCGTTTGAAAGAGCTGTACTGTATTTTGAAAGAGTCAGTAAACGGCTACGATGTCCGTTCTATTACCTTATATTCATGTAATAAATATACAAATTTCAATTAGATGGAAATCTGCCTGAGACATAAAGAAAAACAACATAATTCAGTTATAATGATCACATGCTTATGGTTAAGAATTTCACCCAAACAGACATGATCACTATAAGCGGATTCCACTTTAACTGCATGAAATACATAAACCGTTAACTAACACTTAGTTTCTGGCTAATTAATACATTAAGTAAGAGTGTACTACTACATGTATTACATTATTTGTGCCCTCTCAAGCTGTGTTACTGTGAATTTTTTTTTTTTGGGGGGGGGGGGGCAAATGAAGCCAAATGAAATATTGGGGTGTACACCACCCCCCCCAGTTTCAATGCCCCTGGATACAGTTAAGTACTAAAGGTTATATAGAGGCACATATAAAAACTACCTTTTTATAGGACCGGGAGGAAGCCTGAATAAACGCAGCTAAACATGTAATCTCACACAGCTGGGGGGTGGGAATCAAACCCCTAACCCACAGGCCACAGTGCCACCCACTATGCTACCCCTCAGTAAGACAATGCAGGGTTGAAATACTCTCTACTTCACAACATAATCACTGTTTAATGTCTGGATTCCTGTGACTATCTGAGTCTTGTTTTATAAAGAAATAAAACATAGAAGTAATAAGTTTGCATAACTCAGGCTTAATATAAATCATAAAACATTCTTTCAAATTTTGCTGTAATCTGTGTGCAACATTGATGCATTTTTTATATTATGGGTTTTCATGCGAAATGTCATTCTATTGGCAACCCAACCTAAGCAGTAAGTGCAGAGTTTTGAGTGGTGATGAGTGTGAGGACTGGGCGAGTAAGCGGGGCTGACCTGGGGCTCCCCTGCTCCAGCATCCTGCACAGAGTCTGGATGTACCAGCTTCCATCCCTGACGTCTCTCAGAGAGACGCAATCCTGTACGGTAGCCATGCCGACGAGGAAGTCAGCGTCACATGGGATGGTGCCGACTGGACCTCCGTCGGACTCGGTCTCAAGGTCCTCGTCACATCCTGCTGACACAGCTTCCTGCATGTGCGACCCCTGGCAGGCTTGGATGAAGAACACCTTTGGCTTGCCATTTAGAGCGTGGCCGCTCGCCGCCCTGAACGGCTGCAAGATCTCACTGAGGCCGAGCACCTTGCCGTCCCGGCCGTAAACGCCCTGCTGGGTCCCGTGACTCAGAACACAGCACACGAAGCACTGGCCACCAGCCTGCTGTCCAAAACCCCTTAGATGGTCCCGCATCTCCTCCGCTGATTGGTCCTTAACTATTTTCACCTTAAAACCCAACCATCCAAACACTTCACGCAACCGATCTGTAGAATGACAAAAAGGAACAGACACATTGGTGGTTACTCTCTTTGCCACATGAGGAAACTTCATATAAAAACATCTAAAATTCGGAGAAGTTACCCCTATACTTCTCACGTGGCTGTTGCCGTGACAGACTCTGATAGTATATACACAGCAAGCCAAAACAAAACAACGAAACAAAAGCAGCCTTCGTTCATTTTTCAGCTGGTTTGAAAACACGAACCGGCATCCTTCTGCGATCCATCTCTTCTCTTCAGATTTGTGAACGTCTCATTGTTGAAGATTACGCATAGTCCTCTGGGAATGTCTGTCATTGGGTATTCACTGATCTGTGGGCAGTGACAGAAAGCAGACCAGTAAATGAAATTTATACTAAACACTCATAATCTGGTGAAGTTTGAACAAAGTAATGCACCATTTGAGAATATCTCATTCGGTTATACCTCAGCGAATTCCTGATTGTCTTGCTTGGGGACGTTAGGGCAAATAAGATGCTTTAGGTTGGGGAACGTTTCCTGGACATCATCTGTCTGAAGAAGTGTCAGGAAGCGACGGCATGTATCCTCGCCCTTATTCATAATTTTATCCAGAATGTCTATCACGGTCTCCTCAACAGATAGCTTTTTGGTTTTAATAATGTTATACTCCCGCTGGGTGATGAGCGCATCCGCTTGCAGATTTTGCAAGATGTAATCGGGGTCGGACATTAACACGTCAATTAGACCCATCTTATTTGCCCTGATATTTTGCATGGCGCCGTTCCGATGCACATCAAGATCCTGCGCAGAGGGAAATGTTAACATCACGCAGTTAATGCAAGTTCATCAAAGTATCTGCATGTCAGTGTGAGTCGTAGAAACCTCTAGCTGTTGACTGCAGTCGACTAACACCCTCCGCCCCCCCAATAAAAACGATGATTTGAGTCGCTTAGTGATGACCGACCTTTACGACACATTCCTCACACTATTTGTTAGTTATAAACGGAATTACATTACAATTACCTTAAACTGGCTGATATTGATGTTGCTGCACCGAAATCGTAGCAGACAAAACAGTGAAGCCTTTGTAACTGAAGGTGGATCGTCTCGCTTTCACTTTTACTCTTCTCGACCTCACAAAAAAGACCTACACGATCATAAAGCATTTATCTAAAATACCGATACCCTAAAAGTCGTAACAGGCGTATCCGCTTTAATCTGAAGTATGATTATGCAATTAAATAATGCACTGTATTATTTGCAAAATGAATAATGAACGCATGCCCGGTGCGTGAGACCCGCAGTAGCCATATTTGTTACGGATGGGTGAAATATATTATCAGTTATGGTCGAGCATCGCATTAATCCGCACAACTGTTTGATCTGTTACATGTTTATAGGCGATTATCTACGCATTCTCTCCTTTAATACAGAACTTTAACTCAATAGGTCTACTCTAAAACCTGTTCATGGTATTTTTATTTATCATTATTTATTTATGTATCATTTGTTCTTTGAGAGAACACATTTACGTTTGCGTTTAAATCAAACAACCAAGCAAAAGTTACTTTTTAATATGTATTTTTAATTAGAGACACTTACAAAATTTGTTCAAGCTACCCGCGCTTTGCCGAAGCACGGTCAAACCATCCGCGCTTTAAATGTATTGTGCACGTATAGACATAACATTACGGGATCAGCTCAAAGCGATCGCGCATAAGAAAAGGGTGAATATTCATATGTACAGGGTGTACTTAAATACAATTAATTTCTTACTTTCTCATATTGTATAAGTCTATAAACAAGTCATGTACCATTTTTTTAAAAAGGCACTTTGAAATTCATGTCACTATACGCGTTTGTTTGTGTGAGGCATGTTTGACAGGCCATTTCTCAGAATTTTCGAAAAATGTATAAACGAGTCTTATACTTTCTGAAAGGTAAGGTCCAAAACTATTTTCATATAATATCTGGTCAACATTTACTGTACCATTTTTAAGAACAGGCACTTTGAATTTGTTATTTTGTGTTACATGAGCCAAGTTTGACAGACCATTTCTTAAAATTTTCCCTTATTGTATAAAAAAGTCTTATAGCTTCTGAACGGAGAGGTCCCAACCTAATTTTAAACAAAATTTGGTCAAATTTTATTGTACCATTTTCAAGAAAACACACTTTGACATCCATGGTTTTATGCGCATTTGACAGGCCTTAATTTTCCAATAATGCATCATCAAATAGGTGAACCAGTGGAATTCTGGAGATCTTCAAAATCACCCTTCCACCGCCTGACTATATCCCCAGTTGAGATCAACAGCTCTGGATCCCCGCTGTAAAAGCATGGGTGAGACCCTGCTCCCCCCCAAGTCTGGCGGTTTGCTAGAACCTTTTCGAGGGCGACCGAAACTCCTTCTCCGTTGGCCTCACCAAACTCCTCCCACACTCAAGTTTTTGCTTCAGCTGCAGTTAACTGCCAGTGCCGCTTTCCGCTTGGCCTGCGGGTTCCTGTCAGCTGCTTCCGGAGCCCCGCAAGCTATCCAAGCTCGGAAGGACTCCTTCTTCAGCCTGACAGCTCCCTTTACTGCCGGTGTCCACCACCAGGTTAAGGGATTGGCACCAACAACCTCACGGCTGCAACTCTGCACCGCAGCCTCAGCAGTGGAGTCCCTGAACAATTATAATTTAGTAAACATCAAGGATTGAGTTGAATATCTCCGGGACAGGGGCCTCCAGCAGACATTCCCAGCAAACCCTCGCTATGCGTTTGGTTCCACCGGGTCTATCTGGCATCTACTCAGTCAGAGCCCATCCCCCTGACTCGAAGTCAAAGGGAGGCGGCCCTCTCGTTCAGCGTGGTGAACTCCAGCTCACTAGCACCGAACTGGGGGGCTATATGTAGACCCGCCTCTGCCCGGCGCCTTTCACCATGGGCAACTTCAGAGTGGAATAGAGTCCAGCCCCTTTCCAAGAGTTTGGTTCCAGAGACCAAGACCGAGTCAGTATCTCTCTACCTCCCGTACCAGCTCAGGCTCCGTTCCCACCAGAGAACCCCCAGCAGGACAGACCCATGTTCTCTCTTCGGGCAATGCCGCTCGCCTTCAAGCTCCCATCCCAGGCTGGGCTACAGGGCAAGACCCTGCTCTCCCCAGTCCAGCCAGGGTAACATGGTCCCTTATTAACACATTTCAAAGTGCATTTTTCAAATGTTACAGTAAAACTTGACCAAACCTTGACTGGGACCTTGTCTTTGAGATTTTCTTGAAAATAGTATAGTAAATGTTGACCAAATTTTGTCTGAAAATAGCCTAGGACCTTAGCTTTCAGAAAGACTTGTTTATACATTATGTCAAAGTAAGAAATTAATTGTATTTAAGTACATCCTGTACTTCGTACAAATGAGTATAATTCAGTAAAGAATCCAGATTATTTTCCTAAACGCTAGCTGATACCGTAATGCCACGTCAATGCGTGCACCACACATTTAAAACGCGGATACCGTATGCTGGCTTTGTTTCTATATTCCAATAACTACACGATCATCGTCTCCTTATGGCTTCGCCACACGCACAGCAGCAGGCGCGGGTCTCAACCGGACTTTTGTGTTTAGCTTTCAGTAAAACTGTACCACGGAAACATGGTGGACCCTTGTGTGACTAAAATGAAATTAGTTATTTACTTAAACAGTACTTAAACAATAAACAATAGCCAATTATACACTGTAGAAGTGACCCGTATAATGACTCACCTGCCGAGGACGCTTGAAGCAGTTCTCTTCATCCAGCGTATTACCTACATCTCGCTTCCTTTTCCGTGTTATTAAAGAACGAACAATTAATGCGTCAGTCATTAAAACTACGATAATTTACAGACGAATGTATTTGGGACGCGGTCAGTTTGACACTGTACGCAGTACCACCGACTTCCCTTCGAAATGCCTTGAATAGACCGTCCCAGCGTGCAGTGCCACTTGCATTGTTTTGTTCCGTTGTCCAGGAAACATGCTTTATTATGCATGCCCGAAGAGGCTCGTATTAAGTAGGATAATATTGTTATTAACTTTATATTTTAACGATGATGCTGCGCTGGGCTGTTTGAAACAATGATGCCAAAATATGGACTTGACAGTACGACAATGCTAATTGAGTGTAACGGTTTTCTAATTTGACAAGTAGGTAGTTTTACAAGTATGTGTTTTATGTAGCCCACAGAGATACATGTAGGCTACATTTTCCTGCAGTCATAAGTACTGTATCTTTTAAAATGATAATTTCTACCTGGTTCTGGGCACCGATCACATGATGGAAATGAAAACAACTGGTAAGTGTAGCGTTTCTGGCTTCTGACACAATCCGTCGTCTCATGTAATTATTATTCAAAAGCATTGTTATTGAGAATATGCGCACAATATATGCACGATACTTTTGTAATTTAAACGACAATGGCTTCTTTAATAAATGGCTTCTAAAATATTAGTTATCAGGCAGGCCTATCATAACTCTCACGAAATCTGAAAATTTTTGTATTTTTCTCAGGGCTTAAATTTTCAATTTAGTACATAAACGAAATAGCAGGTATCCGCGTAGTTTTCTTACGTCACCTCTGGTCTGCAGGGAACCTCGGCGATGTTCAGCCGGCTGTGTACCGCGCAGCATTTAAGATACGCTCGCTGCAGAAACTTTGTCAAAGTAAGTGGACGACCGTCTCGCCAGTAGCTCAGGTGGAGCTTAAGGGTCAGGCACAGGTTGCTGAGAACCTACCTTCATTTGGCCATGTTAGGTTTCTGTGCTCGCGTGCTGCTTTGCGTTGACTGCGCGTGCTGTGGGTGTTGCAGCGCACGCGGTCAGGATGCGATCCCTTCGTCCGGCTATGCAGTCTCTGGGTCGGGCTGTGGCTCCAGGGGATATTGTAACCAAGGGGGACGTGGAAAGCTGTCTTCAGAGGCTCTTCGACTGCGTGGATCAGGAGCTGCCAGGCCAAGCAAGACCAGGAGCCGCGGAGCACACCGTTAGACTGTTGTTCAAGCTGTTTGATAGGTAGAGTCCAGTTCATATCATTGTGATTCTTTCAGGGTTGCATTGCATGTTTGCAAGATTAACCTCGCTGCCCTGTCCCAAAGGTCACATGCTGTTACTTCCATTAGCTACACTGCTTTCCCCCCAGACAGCACTGTAAATTGGCATGTGCATGTTTTGTCTTCCTTATACTTTTGATTAATAAATAAAAACTCAAGTGGACATTTAAAACTGTGATTTCCTAGCAGGGAGCAGACCGGGACAGTCTTCCTGCACGCTGTGGAGGCGGTGATGATAGCCCTCTCAGGGGACGTACTGTCAGCCAAGCATGCAGGTTCACCCCGCCTGTCAGTCCCACACCTCATCCCCAGGAAGGAACTTGCTTGCCGGTGGCAAGCACTTCAATGTCAAATAAACACTCGCCCATCCTTTGGTGTGTCCCAGCCCTGTTCGAGCTGGCGGTGCGATGCAGCGAGGTGCCTGGGCAGCGCAGAGGAGTGATGACCCAGAGTGGCCTGGGGGTGGTGCTGTACGACCTTAGCCAGGTGAGCCAGGACCGCCCGTGCTAATTTGATAAATCCTAGAAAGTGTCATAAAATGGTCCCACCCCTACTGTGTGTGTGTGTGTGTGTGTGTGTGTGTGTGTGTGTCTGTGTGTGTGTGTGTGTGTGTCTGTGTGTGTGTGGAGGTTCATATTCTCACTCTGTCCCATAGGTTTCCTCTGGGTGTTTCAGGTTCTCCTTCAGGTTAGGATTGAATAGAATTGGACAGGATAGGATATGATAAGACAGGACATGCATAGGATAAGTTAGGTTAGGATAGGATGGGATGGGATATTATAGAATAGGACAGGATAGGAAAGGACAGGATAGGAAAGGATAGACTTTGGCCCCACCCCCCACCTATGACCCTGTACTGCATAAGAGGTTGGAGGATGGATGAAATGCTATGAACAGGGGAGAGATGAAGAGAACAGCCGGGAGTGAGCAGGGTCCGGTTCTATCTGGCATGCATTGCCCTGCCTTGTACTCCCACTAGCGCCTCATTCTACCATCGCAGGTCCCAGGAGCCGTGCAGGAGAGCCGTGTGTTTGGCCACGTGGAGAGTGCGGTGACATCCTGCTTCCACAGGGTAGGCCCAAAGAACCCTTAACTGGGGGCCTAATGGCGATAAGAAAAGCTACATGTCCTCAAGTGGGCATGGCATCACAACCCCAGCATTGAGGAGTGGGTCCCTCTCTGGGCTCTGAGAGTCTACCTGTTCTTTCCCTGTTTGTTGGGGTGTCCACCTGGGGTTTTGGTGCCCGCAGTTGAGACATGCTGTTTAGGTGGGTAGGTGTGGGCACTGTGCCCCGTCTCGAGCCTCGTATGTCCTGGGATATACTGCAGAGTGTCCAACCAAGTGACGAATTGTTTACGTTAGGGAATTCTGCTCATGGAGCTGCGCAGGGGTACGCAAGGCCTTGCAGCATTCCTCAGTGGAAGCATTAGTGAACCGTTCGCTATATTTTCTGACAACACTAGATGTCGCTCTCTATTTAAAGAATGCATGTCCCAAAGCAAACCAAGAGTGCCATTGTGGGGGTCACAGAATACAGAAAATTGTTTATGAAGCTTCATTTGGACATGACTAGGGAGTGGAGGGGAGTTCTAAGATGGGGTTTGCGTTCTGTCGGGATTCAGGTGTTCAGTGCCGGGGCATCGGAGACACAGTTCAGCCTCTGGCTGCGGTCAGAGCCCCGCCTCCTACTGTGGCTGTCGGCGCTGGACAGGATCTCCTTTGGCGAGGCCATTACCCACCCGGTGCGCTGCCATGTGTGCAAAGCATCACCCGTTGTGGGCCTCAGGTCTGTGAACGCATGTTTGGCTTGTGCTTGTGCGTAGTGGGGCACCTGTGGGCCATTGGGGGGTGTGGGGGAGGTTCCTCCTGATGCTTCTTTCCCCCCAGGTACCGCTGTCTCCAGTGCCTGAACCTCCATCTCTGCCAGACATGCTTTGTGTCTCAGAGAGGCACCAGCAAGCACAGACCCTTCCATGCGGTGCAGGTGCACAGCACTCAGGTGATACCCCCCCCCCCCAATGCACACACACACACACATTTGTATTCATGTCTTTGTGAGGACCATCGATTCATTTCTATTGGAAAAACCCTAATCCCAACAATGACAACCTTAGTCCCTACCCAGCCCTAACCTTAACCATAAGTAACCAAACAAAATACATGACGTTTGGCATTTCTTTATTTATTGATTGCTGTCGGAAATTTTTATAAAATTCAGTTTCCCGTTGTGGTCCCCACAATTTCAAAATAACAGGCTTTTATCACATTATGGGGACATTTGGTCCCCATAATATAATGTATACATAACCCACACACACACACAAGTACGTGCAAGAGTCAGCACTGATGTGCATATTAACTGAATCTGTGTGCCCAGTATTTTTAGCCACGCCCCTCAATACAAAGATCCCAGTACAAAGCTTCCTGTCACCGGGTCACAGTGAGCCGCCATGTCCCCCCTTAATAACAGAGTGCACTCTGACTGCCTGCCCATTTCATTTTACAAACAAATCGCTTCCTTTGTAATTGTTTTTTTTATGTGCTTTGAAATTGATGCTTTGCATAAAGTCCATTTGAAATGAGTCAACAGAGTGTGTGTGTCATCTATGCGGGGCTATTAACATGCTCATGTGCTGTGCGTGCTCAGCCGACCCTGAAGGAGGCGCTGTTCTCACTGGTGCACCGCGTACAACACAAGCTAAAGAGGAGGCGTCCGGCCAGGATGGAGGTGGAAAGCAGCACCCTTACTGGGGCCCAGTTAAGGTGGGACCGTTCCACATGTGTTAGCAAAGGACTGATCTGCAATGCATTCTGGGTGCAACAGCTCTCTATTGCACTGGAGAATAACACCAGTGAACATATAAAAGTATCCAGCTGAATAAATGATTTCATATAGAGATTTACAGTGATTGAAAAAGTCACCTAACTGCATGTCAGTGTGACGTGGTTGAGACAACATCATGTTTGTCCTTAACAGAAAGCAATGTTGGAATATACTTGTCAGAAAAGCTGATATAATACAAACTTTTTGTCTGTTTTTGAGGGAGCTGAGTTTTACCTACTGAGGACACACATCTGTGCTTTTTACCCACACAGAGCTCATGCATCGACTCTACAGGCGGGAGGTGCTGGTGAAGAGCAAAGGTCAGAATCCGAATCAAGAGATTCGCATCCCACCATGGAGTCGAAGGCCATGCAGACAGACCCAGTCCCAGTTCTGCCGTCCCAGGTTGCTGACCAAAGCCTGTTGGGTTGTTTGTGCAATCGGTGTCACGTCACATCCGTGACTGGCTGACCGTCACTGTTTCATCATATAGGGAAAGGCATCACTTGTCAGGCAAGACCTGAACCACATGCGGGGACTCCTTCAGGACCCACAGAGGGAGCAGCGACGAGCTCGCTCGTTCGTCTGCAGCCTCAGCAGCTGGCGGGTTGAGCCGGGCTCAGCGTTACATATGCAGCTTATCAGGCAGCTAGAGAAGCAGCTTAAGGTCGGGAGAGCCTGCATCCAGGTGGAGAACAGCTGGCTGAAGGAGAAGTGCAGCCAACTTGAGGCCACCACGGAGATCCTAGCCCAGCACAACCTGAACCTGCAAGAGGAACTGCACCAAGTTCGGCAAGTGCTGGACGTAAGAGATGCAACTATTTTTTTCTTTTATCAAACTAGTTGAGTTGTGTTTTAATTACGAGAGCAGATCATTTAGCATCTCTTTGAAAACTGTCATTAGCCCAGTAGTGACTGGCCATGCTTGTGACTGCTGTTGCCCTCAACCACATTTCAGACTCTGACCAGAGATGAGAAGAAATGTGTCAGAGAAAACAAGCACTGGAAGCCAGAGGAGAAAACAGACCAAACTAGCCCACGGGAGGAGGGTGGTAGATCCACCCCTGAAGGCTCTCAGCAGCCCCCTGAAATGACTCTTGCTCACGGGCCCGGGAAAGGGCCAGGATGCACCACCTACATGGAGAGGCTGCAGCTGGAAGCTCAGCAAGGCCACGAGCTCCAGCAGGAAACAGGAGACAGGGGAGGAAGCACAAACCGGTCCCTCGGTTCTGTGGAACTGGAGGAGCAGTTGTTTGACGTGGTACAGCACCTAAAGCAAACACTTTCTCAGGACCCAGAAACAGGTTGGTGCCTGTCTGCGTGTCTCCAAGTTCAGCCGGGAGTTTCGGACACATGTCCAGACGTGTACGTATAAGAATAACCAGAGGATCATAGGACCTTTAATATAGCAGCAGACAGGTCACAAGTTGATGTTTATGAAACTGATATTCAAAAGAATCAGTGAAGAAACAAGTCAAAGCACAGAAAGGTGATATAGTGGTCTGGATCCAGTGGCAGAGGAGAGTTAGAAGCAGGGTAGAAGATCTGAGAAGCTTGGCTTGACTGCAAGTATATACTGCCATAACAAAACCAGCATTCATTACACAAGGTTTTGTAAAGGAGATTACATTCAAAGTGAGTCAAAGGTAAGGACCCAAACACTGATAGGCTATTGTATACCAGGTGTAACAGCTGATTGGACGTGACATCTCACGCAGTCAGCCAATGAATAGCCAACAAGTGCTTTGTGAATGAGAGGAGTGGCCTCTCTGGTTCCAACCAAGGAGAAAAATCTTCTGTGTCACTTAAAACAACAGATATTCATTTATAAATTAAGTTTTGAGCAAAGAAACTGAATTTGAGTATGTACTCATATTTGTAAGTGCTTCTCAGGTTTCTCAGATTCTCCTTTTCGCCTCTCCAGCACCAGCCTCTGACTCCGGAGGGGACCTGCTGCAGGCAGCTGAGATGGTCGGGAACTCCATCTCCAGGCTCGTGAACACGATCAGCCCGACGGCTCCCGTCCACTGGCCAATCACTGGAACATCAGCCCTTCATTTCAGACCAGATCTCTGAGATTCACTGCTCCATACACAACACAGGAGACCAGCAAAGGATATGCACTCTTTTATTAATAAAAAAAGGTAGAAAATGGAGAGAACGAATGGTCACTTGAAGCTGGAGCTCCACTTGACAGCCACAGCGCTGGGGTATGATCTGACCCAGCAAACCTCTATCCCAATCCAGTCCCGAGTGACAGATTCTGGGACTTTCTGGAGGTCTGTCTGTGACCCAGAGGGGAATGAAACCCAACAGAACAACTTCTAAGCTAACAACACGGACCACGATCTGGAAAACGTTTGTCAGTTCTGTGCAGAACAGATATATAGGACAATAGGAGGTTTTACACCATACTAAGTATAAATCAGACTGTATCTCTGTAACACTGGTCTGTTGAAAACAGAATTAGTTTATTGTTTTGTGGGGAGGTTTGCAAGGGGAACAAAAATAAAGAACACCCGCAGAGACGGAAAACGCACTCAGTGCTTGAGAGAGTGGTACCAGCTGTCAGCCGGAGTGGCAGGAGAGCTGGGCGTGGCCAGCCGGCGCCGACCGAGTCCGTGGGTCCGTGACAGGACGCAGTCCACGTAGATGTCCCAGAAGAGCCTGGCCAGGTCCCAGAAGAGCGCCCCGTGCTTCAGGTTTTCCGAGGACTTCAGGAAGAGCATGAGGTCCCAGAAGGCAGGGACGCTGTCGGCGATCCGCGGCGAGCGCAGCTCCAGAAGCAGTAAGGAGGAGGAATCCCAGCACTGCGGGTCCACCTGGCTGAGCGTCAGAGGGTCCACCTGGGCTGGACCCAAACCCTGGGCGTGCAGCAGGACCACACACGCACAGCACAGGAGTAGCACCCTGGCCAAGCGCACAATCAATCCATTACTGTTCATCTGCAGGAGAGAAACTCATTGACCTTTCATTTACACTTAACTGCTTAGCCGATGGTTTTATAAAAAGCAACAAGTTCTATCCATTTCATGCAGCATTTCAGATTAAGCGTTCCGCTCCTTAACCACCCTGCTACCTTCTGATCTTTAAGGTGGTTTCGGCAGGGGGCTCTACCCCTCCCTGTGTTTATTACGTTACTTTTTAATCAAATGAATCGCGAAGGGCCGGTAAATTGTTAGCATGAATAAAACAATGAACAAACGTAAAACGCTTTGTGTTTAACCTTAAAAATCAAATAGCAAAGCTGTCGGATAAAATGACAAATCTGCTCTCAGTATCTACACCATTAAGTTATCTTAGCTGTACATCTATTGAAATAGTTCTGAACAAATAAAAAAATATATTATGAATTATATAACTATACTTCTGTTCATATATTATGTACAACGCTTCACTATAAAGTAACAGTAAGTTTGACTTCGTTAAACTGTGCTTAATATTTGGGGGGGTGAGGGGGGACAAACAGAGTAGCGGAAATTATGAAAAGTTTACAAATATAGTTGCCAAGGAGGGGTTTTGTAAGGATGATGCGAGAGAGACGAGCGGCTCTTACCTTGAGAGGGGCTTGGTGCCGATGCCGTGCGCTGACGTGCCCGCGGCGATGTGTGCGGCTCTGGGCGACCGCAGCCACTGAGATTCCCACGGCGACGTCAGTGGCGGAGGGCGCACCTCCAGCCGCCGATCAGGTGGCCCCACGGCGATTTTTAAGAGGGAGCTCTTCTCGCATCACCACTCCGTGATAACGTATTTATTTATTTATTGATTGATTATTAACAACTACGCAGAATATGGCTGTATTTGTTTGTTATAGTCTACCTGTTGTTTGTCTTAATTATTTGATGGCATATAAATGAAATTCACTCTCCAGTAGCATCAGTACATTATTTACATTTCATTTACAGTGCATCGGTAAATAAAAATTGTATTTTTAAAATAGTAAAAATACCACCTAATCTAATTTATGATATATAACATTTAACAATTATGAATGAATTTTACTATTTATGTATAAAAATACTATAATACTACTTGAAACATTACAGTGTCAATGGACATTGATGGTTTGACGAGATAATATCACAAAGGGATGTATGCTGATAGTCTATAAACCAGGGGTGTCAAACTGCAGTCCTGGGGGGCCGGAGCCCTGTGTAGCTTTTAGTTCTTTCCCTGTTCAACCACAAATGATTCAGCTCAAGAGCTGTGTGGTAATTCGCACAAGGAGTTGAATCAGGTGAATCAGGGTGAACCAAAAACTGTGCAGGGTTCCGGCCCCCCAGGACTGCAGTTTGACACCCCTGCTATAAACGCATAGAATATATGTACTGTACATGAGTCCCTCCCCGCCACAAACACCCCAAAACGAGATCCGAAAACTTTGGAGGGGGGTGGGGCACCAGAAGAGCCAGTGGGGACAAACAGGCATCCCACAGCCCGCTAGGACTTCCTGGGGAGGAGCTACGCGGAGCCGGCTTCATATACGCCGCACGCCGAGCCGCTTTCATATACACCGCACGCGGAGCCGGCTTCATATACGCCGCACGCGGAGCCGCTTTCATATGCACCGCACGCGGAGCCGGCTTCATATACGCCGCACGCGGAGCCGCTTTCATATACGCCGCACGCGGAGCCGGCTTCGTATACGCCGCACTCGGCACCGGCTTTTAGCGGAATGCCACCAGAGACAGTCATCACAGTTAGAGTTAAATGCAGCCTTTGTGGTGGTGGCTGGGGGGGGGGGGCTGGTGGTTAAGTCAAGTCTGTTACAGTCATACAAAAATAATTAGGCAGCTATTGCATGACCCCCCCCTACACGCTATGAATGGTGAAGTGCCCTTCATCCCTGATTAAGGTTATTCATCTGCTTTGTCGACTGCTGAGGTACCCTAAGTAGCACATTTTTTTGCATATAGGAACACCTAGATCAGCGATTCTCAACCCGTGGGTCACGACCCAAATTTGGGCAAGTTCAGGAAGGGTTGTGAGGCAAAGTTGGAAATGTAAGCATTTCAAAACCAGCAAATTCTATACTGATCCATGATCAGATTTCCCAGTTCCCAAACTAGGCAACACTCAACCACTCCAAGAAGCCAAACCATAGATGCTTAATTGAAAATTCACTGGCAAATCCAATCAGATTTCTGCAATAGGCATTGATTGGCATAAATTGCAGCGTGCACTGCATGCTTGATCACAGCATTAATTCAAACCTATACCTAATATAGGGTCGTGACTGAGCTGCCGTGGTAAAAACTGGGTCATGGTGCAAAAAAGGTTGAGAACCACAGGGTAGAGGAGACACTTTTGCATCTACTTTTCTCACATGCAGGAAACTGCATCTCACAGTGGGGCACTATATCTCATTTTCTTCACTGGAAAGACACCCTTCCATGATGTAATTCTCTCCATTACACGAGCACTGCATCATGTTTGTTCACTTGGAAGGGGACCCCACAGGGCACCTCAGGTTTAGTCAAGTGTAAGGGTACCTTATTTGGCACTACATCACCTTTTCTCCACTAGAGAAGCACCTATTTGAACACTTGGGAATATCTCAACAGCACTGCATCCCATTTCCTCATTCCGTACGGGCACCCTTTGGGCCACGTAATCATGTAGGGGTGGCAGAGAGGGCACTTGGAAGGGTACCCATAGAGACCCCTTAGATCATTGTAAGGGCACAATATAGGGCACCGCATCACATTTTCTCCACTAGAAGGTCACTCATTAAGATGCTTCATTACATTTCTTGATCTATAGGGTACATCATCGCCCATGAAGGGGGCACCCTAGAGGGCATTAAATCATATGGAAGGCAGCGAATAGCAGCGTTTTTGCCACTCTAAGGGGCAATTTAGTGATGTTTTTTCTGCCTTGGCTGCATCTGGGGAGGCAGCTCCCCCCCCCCTCCGTGTCCAGCATTGCAGCCACACATATTATGCGACCCCCACTCTCTGGTCCCCCTAATGGACCAGGGAGGGAAGACACGTGTGTCAGATTGACGTCTGAGCCGTCAGAGCCAACAGAGTACAATCACTACGGGTGTTCACTGGATTTGAACCAGCAACTGGGGCACAATCCCCAGCCTCAGAGCCACCACTCTGCCCAGGCAGGACCACGGACTCCTGTAAACCCTCTAAATGGTGCCATGAAAAAAATGGTGAGTCATCAGCATGGTTATTTTTCTCAAGTCTGCTGAAACAGGAAGTTGGTTTGCTGTCACTTTCCGCCAAGAATGCAGCCTTTGATCACCGTGACTCATGGATGTTTATGGTGACATTTATTTTATTTTGCAGGTGCTTTTGTCCAAAGCAAAGTGAGGCAGATTGCATATTACAAACACACATGCTGTCAAGTAGTCAGTTAGGCGTAAATGCAGCTCAGCGATGCTTCCAATGGATGCGCAAGCAGCTTGCATGAGCTACGCAACGACTTTCAGACAAAGCAAGAACTGAATAAGACAACTGCTCAATCAGCGGACAGTGCAACGCATCCAGTGAGGTTCCAGTGCCAGAGTGTAGCATCTGTAAAAAAAATACCTTTCAATCTTCATATGACATAACCACTTACAGTACTTTATAGTAATAGATTTCAATTCTGAAGGACAGTTAGAAGCTGAGATTAATCATGGCCCAGCAAATGAAATGCATGCTCTACCTCACTAGCTGTTTCACAACCCATTTCAGGAACAGCTTTTTTTCCCTAAGCTGTAAGGCTGCTAAATAACCAGTGACTGGCATCTACTCTGGCACTTTCTCAACGCTCTGCAATCCTTTGTGGCTATTTTCACATCCTTCCCCAATGCGGCAGCTATTTATTGTGTATTTATTAGTCTCACTCTCTTCTCTTGTCCCTTATTGCACTGTTGTTGTCCTGTTGTTCTCCCATGCAAACTGTTCCCTCTCCTGCAACTGTGGCATAAGAGATTGACTGGGTTCCTCCAAAGACATATGACAAAAAAAAAAACTTATTGACAGATCCCATCCAAATAACCACCTATTTACCAGGCTGAGGTCTGGAAAGTGCTTCTGTAGAGAAGAGTCTCAGTGAGAATTAAGAGGCTCAGCAGGAGCTTCTACCCTCAGGTCACCAGATTACTAAATACCTCTGCAAGAGTTATAATTAAACACTCGCTCCTCACACATGTACCGTGTCCTCTGTTTGAGCTACACTATATGGACTAAAGTATTGGGACACTTGGCCATTACGCCTACAGGAACTTTCATGACATCCCATCCTAAATCCATAGGCATCAGTATGGAGTTGGTCCCCCCTTTGCAGCTATAACAGCTGCCACTCTTCCCACAAGATTTTGGAGTGTGTCTGGGGGACCTTGCTTTGTGTAATATGCACACCCAAGACATTTTGGACAATTCTTTGCTTCCAACTTTGTGGGAGCAGTTTGGGGAAGGCGGCCCTTTGCTGTTCCAGCATGACTGTGCCCCAGTGCACAAAGCAAGGTCCATAAAGACATAGTCGGGTGAGTTTGGTGTGGAAGAACTTCACTGGTCTGCACAGAGCCCTGACCTCAACCCCACTGAACACTTTTAGGACTTCACATCTGACATCAGTACCTGACCTGACAAATGCTCTTCTGTATGAATGGGCAAACATCCCCCCAGACACACTGTTATAGCTGCAAAGGGGGAGGGGGGGGCAACTCCATACTAATGCCTCTGGATTTAGGATGGGATGTCATGAAAGTTCTTGTAGGTGTAATGGCCAGGTGTCTTGTCCATATATGCATGCATATATATATATATATATATATACACACATCTGTTTTATTCTTATCTTTTCCATTATAACTTTCTGTTTCGTACAGAAGCACCACTACAGAAATTTGAGCCCCAAGAAACCAGACCATATCTGACCCTCAACCCAGACCAATCCAGTCATGTTCCTCCCCCTTTATGGAGCCCCCCGGTTGCATATTTATTACATATTTACTATATGTTTATTCTTTTCTGTTTAGTTCTTTTATTGTTATTACATTTTTTATGCTGCCATTGGCCACCTTTCCTGTGGATTACAGTTTGTTTACCTTGCATGTGACAAATAAAAATCCTTAAATTCTGGCATTCCTACAAATCAGAGCTGATTAAGGCAGATCCTGGTAGTATTTTAGTCATTTGTCTCTCTACCCATTAACTCTGGCCTAACAGAGGGAGTTAAAATGGAGTGAAGAGTCTTAGGGTTTGTGACTTTAAATACTTCCACCCTCTAGGAGAGGGGGTCATGTTCGAAAGAAGATGGTAAACGAGCACGTTTGCCAACAACTGATTATGAGCGGTGAATATTGTTTTAACTGCTCTGTGAGACAATATTCTCTCTCTGCTCCAAATGGTTTTAAGTAGAAACATTCAACATTTCTGCTCAGCCTGGGATGAATCATTTAATATATTTATCAAGTATGTCAAGGTCAAGAAGAGATACACAACACCAGAAAATGTTAAAATATGACTGGCACCCTTAAGAGGGAAAAAAACACAGTAATGTCCACCAGAGTAAAATATTAGTCATTTATTCATGGCTACCTTCCATCTGAACACAGACGTGATGCACTGTGGACACGTGGGATGGCAGTCGATACAGAACCAAACACGGGCAGTTGTCCTTACAGCCACCGAACGTGTAACTGCGGCCCGTGAAAGTCACCCAAACGCACCACAGGTGAAATGTCGATTAAGAAAAAAAATCCACTTGGTTTTCCGGCACATAAATAATGACTCATATATTTTGGACAGATGTTAAGTTCTTTCACTTAAGAAATTCCATCATTGTCGTTGTCATCATTAATATTTTATTTAAAGCTAAAAAGATGTGTCTGTGGCCAAGCATATAAAAGATTGCCTTATTATTAGTCATTTAAAAATGGTTTGTCACTATTATGATCATATTTAACCCTTAAGTTTTGTGCAATACATTTCTTTGCATAGTAAATAAAAGTTTAAATGATTAATTGCTCTCATGCACCTACCTTGTAGCATCGTCCTTTGCATATCTGGGACTCTCTTAATAAGACTGGAAGCCAAGTATTATGTTTACATGCAGTGCGCTACCAGAGCTGCTAGGGGAGGCCAAGCCAGGACAGCGGGTGTGTAACAAGGGCTCTTAGTGGGATGGGCATGTGACTGGGGAGGAAACCCCCACCCCAACACACATCCGTATTTCCACCCATGGAGGGCAACGGTAGACATTAGCTAGATCAGCCGATTCTTTGGCTTTCTGCCACTGTTGTAGGCATTCTGGGATGCCAGTAGCAGGATTCATAGATCCCCCTCCCTCAAAACCACTGCCCACAAATTTACCCCCCTCCCCCAGACAACCTGGCATGATGTGGTTTGCTCGGTCTGACCTTTGACCCTGACTTCTGTGCCTGATCAGATCCCTCCCTCCACCCTGAAAGAATTTGTTTATATTCCCCTGGAGACATTTAACAGTTGCCAGTCTGTCTGTCACTGTTTGGCCAAGTTGACTATCGATTATTTTCAGTTTTTTATTTTTTTATTTTTTTTTTTAAATGCAGCCAGACACACCCGCTAGACAACATGCTAAAACAAAGGACAGCGGCTGACGTCAATTCAGGATGATATGTTTGGAGCTGGACTTGTTTTGCGGTTTATATACAATCTTAGCTAGGTTTAGTGGTATGGTGAGCCAGAAGGCATGAAGGAAGCACCCTGATTCAACCCCCCCGCCCATGGCCGGGGGGAGGGGTGGGGGAGAAAGTGTTGAGCGAGGAATTGGCTTGGCCATTTACTGCCTTTTCAAGGTGCTCTTTTCTTTTAATTGTTTTTTTTTTTTTTTTACTCTACACTTTCTTTATTCTATATATTTTTTTGTTCGCTATTTTTGCTTCTGGTAGTTTCCTCAGCCATGCAGCGTCCTTCAATGTGAGCAGGGTTCCAGACCGGGAAACATGCCTAACAATGGAGCGCTGTGGACGTTCCCTCCCTCATCTGCCCCCGGACACTTCTGGGAGGTCTGAAGGGGGAATTCCGTCGGCGCTGAAGGAACAGAGGTTGGTGAAGCCTTGGGGAAGCATCGAGAGGCAAGAACCTATGATCAGCAGTTACTGTTCTTTTTTTGTTGTTGTTGTTGTTCAAGTAAAACTAATGCCAAAGTCAGCAGCATGTAACGCAGTCCAGCCGTGGGCTGTGAAAGCGACCCTGGAGATCCTTCTTGGGGAATCCTCTTCCATTTTTAGATGCCACCAGCGGAGGGGTCAAACCCACGCTTCTTGACAGTCCTTGTTATGGTGGTTGGGGAGTTGGGGGCAAAGAGATACACTTGGTCACCACAGTTCATTGCGCATAAGCAAGTGCACCATCCCCGCCCACGCATCCTAGCATTCTCCGGGACGCCACATGCACGACGCCCAACATCGACCTAGCCACACCCTCAGGGACGTAACCAATTTCAAGATCAAACCCTGATCCTGACTAAAAGATATGCCTACATTTGGGCAGGACTGAGGAGGCCCCTCCCAGAGAGAGAGGGATGTTTTCTCAGAGGAGCATCTAAAGTATCATGATCTCGATCAAATGAGCCGAAGAACGTGGAAATCCAGTCCATCAGCATTTTTCTGTGAAAGACTAGGTGTCTCATTCATAAAACATTCTTGTTTTGGGTACGACAGGCACTCAGAAATCTAACAGTGGCAGCATGATCGTCTGCTGCTTGATTCCGCATAATAATAATAATAATAATAATAATAATAATAATAATAATAATAATAATAATAATAATAATAATAATTGCAGAGTTATGCCATTAGAGCTTTGTGGTGAGATGGCCCCAATTTTACCGAGTGCGTATTTCACGAAAACTGATAGTTAGATACCAAGTTAGGACACTCATTTTTCTGCAGGACGCAATTCTTCTGGATCTGACAGGAGTAACACATATGCCTATAAGTGTCCTAACTTCCTCTGAAGGGCCCTCACCCTTTTTAAAAATAAAAAAATAGGACATAGGTTACCTGAAATAAAATGCTTATTACTATTGAACCACTTGTACTACATAGATCAACATGGTCTGGTTCAAATCCTGATAATCACAAACTGTTTATGGATCAGAAACCGATTTCTAAAAGTGCTGCTTATATGAATAAAATTTTTTTTACTGTAAAGTTTTTTTCTCCATAGCTAGTGACCTGCACTATATTTGTTTTAAGCCTGTTGCGTCCTCAGTGACGCGATCGTTTTGTCGCCTTTGATTTTGATCTTGAAAACTGTAGATAAATGTGTAAATAAATGCCTTACCTGTGTTTAATTGTTATTTTTTCTGCTTTCCATTTCTGGCTTAATATCCCGCTTTTAAAAAGGCTGCGCTGTCCTTGTGTGTTATTTCTGTAATATTAATAGTTGTTTGCTTTTTGTTTTGTTTTTTACATCTATTTATACTTTCCATATTTTTTTCATATCTTGCAATTGTGATGCTTGTGTCATGAAAACTTGTTTGTATTATAAGCACAGTATTGTGTGTTTTGAATATTCCTCAAGGCTCGCCCTAATTAAGTAGACAATTTGGGCTCCTTTATATGCTAACGAAGTTGCTTAGGGGGCGTTTCCAAGGTGGAGCTCTAAAACCGTTCAGCTACGCACAATTTCACGATCATCTGCGATTTATAGATCGAGAGTGGCGTACGCACATTTTTTTTTTCCGTGCGTACATTCTTACATTTTTATAATCTTTTTATAAATGAGACGCCAGCTTTGCTTGATACTGCTAGGCAGGGATGGCCCTGATCCCACTGACCTGGCTGCCTTTCAACACCACACTTGGAAGAGGGGTGGGATACGTCATGTTTTCCCATTTGTTTATACACCTGCCGGAAGCCAATGGATTAACATCTACCCCCCCCCCCGGGAGGGAAAGAGAATACCATCCAGGAAGTATGGTGGTAAAAAATGGCAGGAGACAACAGGACAACACATACAGCAATAGGGAGATCAACAAAAACGACCCGTCCAGAATGTGGCTCGATGTGGGGCATCCAGCAGGCCAATCATGCATATGTGCCAGCAGGTGGCGAGGATGAGACACAACCAGAGCTGTGATTGGGCAGTCTAGGGGAGGCGGGCGGGGATGGGCAGTCATGCAGTGTAGTGCGCCGTGTCTGTACCGGGTCGAAGCAGACAGCGGTGCCAGCTCATGCCGTGTCCCGGGGTCCTGCTCTGCGCTAGGGCGGAGCCTGGAGCATCCGTGTGGGGGCGTGGCCATGACACAAAGGCTGCTGCCCATCAATCGGGATGGGGCCTCCCTATGCGCCCTCACCCTCTGACAATATCGGATCGGGAGAAAGATCATGGCAGTGGCACACGAGGCGAGCACACCGGGGTGGAGCCCAGCCTTTGTGCGACGCTCTGACCTCGCGCAGTCTAGTCTGCATGCAGAGTTTAGCACGGGCTTGAAGCAAGATGCTCTGGTGCCTGCAGGATCTATTCTACTCTAACCATCAAGAATGTTTTGCATCACAGTCTGATCCTGCAATAGTAACCTATTCTTACCGCTACAGTCACATCAGACCATACAAACAGATTTATGTCATTTTAAACCACACATGGACTGCAAATGTGTGGTGATACTCTTAGTAGTAAAGTATGTGAAGGTGGCCCTGCCGAAACTTTTCTCTGCACAAAGACAGATGTGGAGAGACAGGTGAGCAATAACTGAAACATCACTGCATCCTCCTTCCCGTCGTGTCACCTGCCCTTACCTGCCTCTCCAAGGTTGTCTTCCTCTGGCCTATTTTATCATTTTATCTTTCTGTAACCTACCCTGAACACACCACCATCTGTCTGTAAGCTAAAGCTAACATGCATAGCTACCCTGAACACATCACCATCTTTCTGTAAGCTAAAGCTAACCTATCCTTCTTCAGTTAACTTGCTAATATTTTATATGGCTGAGAGTTCAGTAACTATCTTGCTTCTATTGATGTTCCTTCATAGTACCTGGGGTTTCCTGTGTGCTGTTTCCAGAACCCACACCATCCATTTCCAGCAAAACAACTCTGAAACAGGCCTGTACAGTACATTATGTACCATGTATATATTTACTACAACCAAATCTCCTTCCTTTTGACAAGGAAAACTAACCCTCTAAATAAAAAAGAAACAAACTTAAACAAGTTCACTCAGATCCATTTGATAGCTCTTTTGTGGTTTTAATGATAAATAATGGCATAAAGCTGTTCAGTTCCAATGAAGAAGTTATCAGTGAAGCATGCATTTAAAGCTTTGAGCTGATCAGCCTAGTCGGTTTGAGGTTCTGCTACAGGTAAACATTGTTTTAGCCCTCCTCATCCCATGTTCTTTGGGCTTGTCCTTTGAGTTCCACCCCAGATCCCCAGTTCAGTGATGCTTGGTCGCACCCGGCTTGCCATCCTAGACTGACTGTTGTTTGTTATCCATCTGTGGCCGGGGTGTCAGACCCGCATGGGCCACCAACGTGCTCTCTGTCTGGCCCCTGCTCTGCGTCTCCAGATGCCACCCACCCACATCTGCAACCACGCCCCCCCCCCCCCCCCGGCTCACTGTAGCAGGAACTCAAATCTCCAGTGTGCATGTGTGGAGACAGGCGTGATGCTGTCGTCATAGCAACAGAAGGTGCACGGCGTTGTGTTGTTGTTGTTGTTTTTTTTTTGCTTACTTAAAGCCCCATCCTGTCCCCCCCAGCACAATGGCCGCAACCAGGATGGCTCCCGCGATGGAGCCAATTATGAGATTGGTGGCGCTAGGACCTGTGAAAGGTTACGGGGAAAGAAACATGAGAGCTGGGACTTCGGGGTCATTTTCACACAGAAATAATCACTGCAGAAATAACTACGCGACTCAAATAGCAAACAAACAAAAAACATCCAAGGAAGCTGCCTTGGGCCAGAAGTGGACTCTTTTTTTAATTTGTCATGGTGTAAAAGGGCACTTCAGGGTCTCCACGGCCACGTTTTGCTGACGAATCGGGCCGTGTGACGGCGAGCCCCACGGGTGTAGGGCTGACTGCTGCACAGCTAACCGGCCTGGAGAGCCGGCCTCACGCGGCACATCTACCCCTTGTGGAAAGCTGTTTCCACGCAGCTCAGCCTCACACAGCACAGCTCACCCGCAAGGAGAGCCGGCCTCCCGCGGCAACAACCAGATCTCTCAGGGGGTCAGTGTTCATCTATAACTGAACAACTTCTAACATGGTTGGCACCATGGGCATAAATTACAGGGGGGATGGGGGGTTGTAACCCCTGTCAATAATCAAAACCAGCTAATACAATTCCCCCAATAATCGTATCTCCCCCAAAAAGGGTGTTGACCTCAAAGCCCCAATGTTCAAACCAAAGTTACGCCCTTGGTTGGCGCTATGTTAACCAGATCCAATTCCAACAGGAGACACAAGGGGAGCTCAAGAGCCCTCTGACAGATAGGCTACACCGAGTCTAATTCCACTCTCTCTGACTTTTACATGTGCCCCACATACCCCACAGTTAAACATACCATTAACAATAACAGGACAAATAAGGCACCTCCACTCATGTGACATTTACACAGTCACCACAGAGGGCAAAACCATTGGGACGCACACACACAGGGCTCAGGCTGGGTCATGTGACCGTCCCCACATGCAGAAGCACTACGAGAGGGAGAGCTGTGAAAGGGAGAAAAAATGCTTACTCTCTTCCCCACCCTGTGCCTCCAAAAATCACCCCCAGGGCCAGTATGGTCCCTGCTACTGCCCTTATCTGCCCCCTGCACAAAGGAGAAGCATCATTGAACAGGGCTCCCCATCGCCACGGCAACTCTGAGGCGCACCCCACGACTCCTCCCCCTCTTCACCCCGCCCGTGTCAATCCCTCCCCCAGAACAACATCTCCCAGCTGGCTCCCCCCAGCTCCAGTAAATCACCACTGCAAACACATACAAAAAAAAAGCACAGTACATTTAGTCCAGAATGACCTGCGATCCACATCCATTTATACAGCTGAAAATGTCACCAAGGAAATTCAGGCTAAGCAGCTTTTTTTTTAAAGGTAAAGCAGACGATCCCCTACTGGGAAACTTCAGTCCAGGCCTTTACCCAGAAGTCTTCTCATTTTACTATCTTAGTATTAACAGAGTGTGGTGAGGAAGCTTGAAAACATGCCCCCCACCCCCCACTTCCCCAGGTTGACCCTCTCCCACGTGCACGTGTGTGAGGAGAGATCTGTAGAGCAGGGCTTTCATACCAGCCCTTGTAAAGCCATAGATTCCACCATAACGAGTGGCTCCTACAGGAGGCTTTGGTTACGTGCGGAGAAAACACAAGAGGGCCTCAAAAATAAATCATCAGCTTAGCGTGGAGAAAAGTGGCGCTGGGTGGAATAGGTAGGCTGCCCCTATGATTCGACAGTGACATCACAGTGGCTGGCCAATAGGAACAAGCGGAATGTACAACATGCCCGCTGGGGCCGGCGGCGACTGTAATGGAAGGGAACAGACCCTTCGGTCCTTCATCCTCGCTGGGCGGGGGCTCCTTGGGGGGGTCGGGCATGCTGCAGTCAGTCCCTGCCCAGGTGGCGTCACAGGTGCAGGTCGCCTCGTTATTGCACACCTGGAGGAGGAGGGGCAGGCGTGAGGGGGGCGGAGCAGCGACGAGGATGTGGCAGGCCCACGCATGGACACGCCCCTGCTACACTCAGCCAATCATGTGCTTACTGCTGCATGCCTGGTTAGGCAACTACATGGGAGGGACAAACGTGGACACAACCAATGGGTAGGACAGTCCAACAACCTCAAAAAATCTAATTTGCTGAGAAATCCTAACTAGTTACATGGGTGGAGCACAGCTGGCCATTATTAGAAGAGCTTAACACACCTGAGCCAGATGGGAATGGACTCACCCAGGGGGGCGGAGCATGCTGGGATATGGGCGAATGGGCAGAGCTCTACTCACCACATGGGTGGAGCTCATCTGGACACGCACCAATGGCCTGAGCTTTACTAACCCCATGGGCGGAGCACACCAGGCCGTTGGAGCCGCTAGGGCAGGCACTCATGTTGAATGACTGGATGGGCAGACACTTGCGGTCAAGGCACATCATGGAAGGCCCGCACGGCGTCCCGTCCTCCACATAGCCAAGGTCACTCTCGTCGTCTAGAAGCACATGTCCGCCACTGGTGGGCGGGGCATAAATGAGGGGAGTAGCAGTGGAGGAGAACGGAAGTGGAGCTGGCGCCCCCTGGTTGGAGTTACTGGTGCTGCAGTATGCTGAGGTGCACGGTGGGGGCTGCTCAGGGTCTCACCTGCAGTCCACCAGCTTGCCCTGGTGATTGAAGGAGGTGGGGGTGATGTCACCCTTCAAGACACCGATACGGGGGGCGCGAGCGATGTTGGCGCAGAGAAGGTACCCACAAAACACATCACTGCGCCAAAAACGAGGGAGAGACATGGGGACAGAGAGAGAGAGGGGCTGAGACAGGGAGAAGTGTAGGTGAAATGAAGGTAAAACGAACAGGAAAGGAGATTTTCATGTGGAATTTCTGCTGTGTTATTCCTTTGGGGATAAACAGGTGCAAACGTGTGATTAATCAGCCCCAGGTGTCCGGATCAAGCTGCTGACTGAGTGGATGGATGGAAGGAATTTCATTAATTTCCAAGCCTGGAAATGGCTGTACCCCCCTCCCCCCCCCCCCACCACTGTAGGCACAAGAGGCTTCTCAGAGTGTTATAGGCTGTTCTGAGAGGCCGACGTGACATTTACAGGGACGCAGTGAAGTCGCCATTAGTATGGACGGTGCTGCGCCCCTGACTGGGCTCTGCGGGGTGCCTGGCGCCCCCTAGAGGAAGGGCTCACTCACTGCTTGCCGCACTGCACCCAGCTGTCTCCATCCTTCCCGCAGTTCCCCTTCTCCGTCCCCTCCGTGTTCAGCTTCTCATAGCAGAACTTTTCTGACGAGCCAGACTCTGCAGGGAAGGAGGACACGGGCGAGTCACAGCCCCACCCACCGGGAGGGCGGCTCGCATCACCGGGCCCGACCCATCTCTGGCTTACAGTTAAACTCGCCCGCCGCAGTGAGGGGATTATGACCTGACGCCCTGAGGCGTATATATCTCAGGAGCCGAGTAAGCTAGGGCAGGAGCCCGGGAAAGGGGTCAGATGCAGCACTGTACTCACTGGAGCCCCAGACGTATTTGCACTGAGTCTCCCTGGTTTTGCACTCCCCACTGTAACAGCGACCCTGTGGAAGTCAAACAGCAGCTGACAGGCATTGTCACCCCAGAACTGCACTGTATTATACATCGTGAGTTATTCACCACGGTACTTGACCTGCCCAAATACCCACCTGGTTCACCTGGCACATGTAGCCATCTTGCTTGTGCAGATTGGGGGGGCACTGCGGAGGGACAGGACATCGGTCAGCAGGTGCGTAGTGGGGTGGGGGTGGGGGGGGGGGCTGACAGTCACAAGGCGGAGGACTGACCTGGCCTGAATCGCCAGTACACGTCTCAGAGATGTCGCAGTCGTTCACTGCGAAGCGGCAGGTGAAGCCCCGAGGGTACAGCTGGCAGAGAGGGGAAATGGCGCGTGTGCATGAAAGGGAAGGGCGGGGGGCTATAGAGACCCCGCCCCAAAGAACATTCCCATTGTACGTATGACATCCATCCTGAATGTGCATGCTGGTGTTAAGGGAGCGGCATCTACAGTGACACACGCACACAGATACACACTGACTCGCACACACAGACACACTGTGACACACACTGACACACACACAGAAATATACACAGACACACACAGATACACACAGACAAGCACACGCAAACACACTTTGAAACACACTGGCAGACACACACACTGGCAGACACACACACACACACACTGGCAGACACACACACTGGCAGACACACACACACACACACTGGCAGACACAC